GCGGCCTCGCCACCGTCGCGACCAAATCGGGGCTCGCGGACCCTCGAGCCAAATCGACTGGTAAGCTCGTGTAGCGACCGTACACGTGGCGGTCGAGCGACGCTCGGAACAAGTTCGTTGTCTCCCCGCTCTCGGTCGGTATTTCGTGCGGCACATTCTGAGCATCCGCACGCATCCAGCAAATAACCGTGCGTGCTCGTTGGCGGAGTGCGGGGCTTTTGGCCATTTCAGTTTAATGCGTTTTGCAAGAGATTATTTAAGAGGCGCCTATCACGGGAAGCAATTTTGAAGCTGTCCGGCCACGTTTTTTACTCGCGCGCTCTGATGGAGAATTAAACGACCATGTCAACTGCTGAGAGGGTATCCAAGCACTTGCAATAATGGGCAGTCCACATAGTCTTCAAATAAGCGAACCCGGCCTAATTCATACACACATACACAAAGATAAAGGTCCCCCGTAGAGGCTTTGCAGACGTTTGGGGCAAATGCTGTTCACGAGCAACTATGAAGGTCGGAACGACCCACGAGCCGGGAGGTGGCCAGCACCATACCCGACCGCCTTTGTCTACCCAGTGGTGATGTTTACACACCACACCAGCTACACGTTTTTAGCATGAGTCGAGCTTAGGGCAGCCCAGGACCGGTTCAGATAATCACCACTGGCGTTGGCCGTGAGCGGGAATCGAACTCGGGTCGCGATAATTGCTGCACTACCGCTCTCCACGTGCACGCACGCACACAGACACATACACAATGACGTCGGCCTTTCCATGCGTAATGTCGATTGCTTGATACGCCGCTCTAAAGTGCTCTGGGGGTAACAACACGTGCTTGGTAGCAGGTGAGGGGTCGCGCCACCCAGCAGCGGCGAGCGGAAAGGCCTGGGCCACTCCCCCTGTGTTATTGTCATCGAAGCCACTCTTCAAAATCTCAGCGTGGGACTTTTTTGTTGTTCCGCGTTGCCTGGGGTGGAGAGGTGGCGCAGTGGTTATCGCACTGTGCTACGAACCTCGCGACCTCGCCACCCGAGTTCGATTCCCGGCCGTGGTTACCGTTGGTGGCGAGTCGTATCTAAACCCAGTCCCGAGTTCCAAACTCTCTTTTGACCAGCGCTGACCAGCCCTGCGAAGCACGGCCAAACAACCTCCACGAACGACACAGGAGGCCTTCGTACAGCGGTGGTGCTGACGCGGGGCTGTGCATTCCTTATTTTCACAACTCCACTTAACGTGGCCCGACAGATTTGTTTTTGTCCATCTTGTTTGACGAACGACCGCCACGTGGCAGACGCCGCATTTGGCGGCTTTAATGATTCGTTAACCTTTAGATTTTTTTTCTTTCATTTTTCTCATCACCTTTGAATTTTTTTTTTTAGCTTTTTGCATTTCATTCACGAAATTAAAGTCTAAGGCAGAGGGACCGTGGAGCCACGATGACAAATAGTGGTTTCTTGGATGAGCGATCTGCCGTTCAGACCGTTTGCAAACAAGAGATGGGAGCGATAAGGAGAGGGGGTAACCCCGGTATTGGAAACAGTGCGGCGTGCATGTCCAGGTTATGAAATATTAATTATCTTTTTTATGGTGCAGGGCTCATTAATCTAATATCCACTCAGACTTGTAATGGCTTTCTGTCCTTCGCACAAAAAATAATCTTAATGAGATTTGGGGACCTGTTAATGCAGCCTGCACCACGCGTTACTTGCGTCTCGCGTGAAGAATTATTTTTTGGGGTTATTTAAGACGCGCTGTGAAAAATGGACTCGGTGACTTTTAAAACGATGCTCGGTAAATACACACGAGTTGATCTTCGGCGGCCGCATGAATTATTGTGAATCGGAGGAGAGACCCTCCCGTGCATGCTTAATGCGGGGACGTCGAGCAGCCATCGGATATGCGCTGACCTTCTGTGACCTGGCAGTGGCTCGCTCATGCGAGCAGCAACAGCGTTGAGCGAAGGCACAACCGCAGACTGCTCGTTGCTTTATTAAAGTTTAGGTCAAAGCGATTTCCTACGCAAATGAGCATCGTCACGGGAATGTTCGTCTCCTGCTTACAGCCGTGAGCCAGCTATAGAAATTCTCCATCTTTATAGCGGGGGTGAGAATCTACAGGACAACCACTGGTGACTTCGCCCACAATGTGGCACTTATTTGGCTGACCCCGGCGGGACGACGAGCTCTAAAACCGCGATTCGAACTCGCAACTTTCCTTATTGCCGCACTCCAAATGCTGAGCTGCTTGCTCTACCACCGAGCCGCCAGTGTATCTGACCCAATGAAATCATCAAAGGAGTATCGATCGATGGCGAAACGCAGTTTAAATCTGCTGCCGTAAATAACAATGCCGATGCATCTCTCCGGTCATGGCAGCTAATGGCTGTGTGGTCACGTTTCGCGAACGCTACTTTCACGTTGTCCTCCGAGCGCCCGGCTCCACGGACAAACGTGGCAGTGATTCCCAACACGTGGCCCACACGGCAGGGTCGTTACCGGCCTCCCGTTAAAGATTGGCAGTAATAATCATAATACATATTTTAGGGTATTTAGCGCCTTTCATAAAATCTCAAGGAATGGAGCCGAGCGCACCGAGGGGGATTTGAAAACAACAACGACGACAACTAGGTTCGAGCTCCAGTTTATTTTTCTCGAAGTGACTTTCATTGGCTATGTTGAATCGTTAAACACATCTTCAGCCTTGCGTCACACAGTCTACGAAGCTTATCTTAGGTGTCCAAAAGAACCTCTGTGTTTTTTTTCCCTTCTCATACAAATGCAATATTAATCATATTTAATGGACAATTAGTATTATATGTTTAAGACTAATAAGTAGGCTGTAGAATTTAGGCCCTTGGCTGAATCGGAGGGCACTTGCCTTGAATTGGCGGGTGCATCGCTGTCAATATTAATCTGTTTTGGCCGTCACGCCATTCCTGCGCCGTATGTCTGCCATCACCCTTCAATTAATTTTTCCGGGCCCAACTGACAACTTATAACATGCTGAGGCCGTGAGATGTCCGTCCTCTGCGGAGATTCTTAAAGTTAAAAGATGAATCCAATTAAATTCCGAGCGATAAATGCGCGCGAGCCAAAAGCTTGCTTTGATAATGCTTCACAGCTCTTTATAATTTTACATCTTAATATTTTTTAAAGATCAATCATAATTCAACTGCTCGCTTCTCCATTTAAAGGATGTCAGCGTGGGCTTATTGGATTTAGGTTTGTCAGTGGTCCTCCGTGAGGCTCGCTGCGTCCGAGTGGCTGAGCTTAATTAAAATCACGAGCCGGTGTCCTTGGCCACAACTGACTCTCGCGTCCAGCGGCGTTCACGGGCTGCGCCGATTCGTCTTTGACGCTTAACAGTGGCCGCGGTAATCGGTGAGCGTCTACGATATCCTCACTCCCGTGCTTATTGGGGCCCCTTCGCCAGCCTGCTGTAGACGTGAATAACAGATTCGTTGATTACACTGGTCAACACACTTTTTCTGGCATAAGGTATTCCAAAGGTTTTAAGGCAATTTTGGGGTGCAGATTCCCAATTTGGCATCGGTTTTTGTCTATCACATGAGGTTTTTGAAATATCAAATATTGCATTTTCAATAAAAACTGCAGAAGAAAAATATTAAATAAATGTGGATATCTGCATAAAATGATATTATAAACACAATATCCTAAAAATACAGCACCTCATTTTAACACTAAAGCAGTCACTGACTCGCAACATCTTGCAATCACAAGTGACAGAGTTAATTTTGGGTAAAATCAATTAAAATGGGGTATGCCGATAGCATAAAAATTAGATGTGGTAGAGCAAATCTGAGATCAGATTTGGAATCAGCACCCTGAAATTAGCCTAAAATAGCTGCAAAAGTCCAGGTCAGAATTTTTTTTTTGTTGACCAGTGTAATATTAACTTTTATTTTTGCGATTGCTACCGTGTGGGAATGAAAGATCTCGACGTTTTGGCCGGCTGGATGATCTTGAGAGATATCGCAGATGGTGAGGTCACCCCTAAACGACTGCAGTGGCCACGAGTTCTCTTGAAACTGCCATGCTGAGATGAATTATCGTCGCGGTGGCGAGATGTTAACTCCCTCGCCTGGCATGTAGGAGGGCATGGGTTCGATCCCGACCTTGATGCCTATATATTTGTAGTTTTCATGTTCTCCCCTTGGTCGTGTGGAATTTTTCTCCAGGTCCTCCGGTTTTTCCCTCCACATTTAGAATCATGCGTTTAGAGTTTTCGGCTGCTATACATTTCCATATGATAAGCCACTTCGTTGAGCTTCGATTTAAAGCTTTCGTGACTGCAGGGATTCATCTTCTTGGTTCTTTCGGTAAAGTCACGTAGAAGGGAAATAATAAAATAATACAAATAAAACATAATAAAATAATTCTCACGACGTTTCGGCCACAACCCAAGCAGCCGTCCTCAGGTGAGTTTACCGAAAGAACCAAGAAGACACTTCGTTGAGCTTATCATTTGTGGCGAGGTTGCTTTTGGAAAAGAACTATATAGCTCAGTGGGCCTTAACTGGTTGAGTATTTTCCACTAAAAACCCGAGCCACATCAGGACCATGCCGAGCCAACCTGTCACGCTTCAGAAGGCACAAGCCGAGCTGTGCCGCTGACAGGCAACGGACGATTCGCCCCACCCCTGGCCCTGCTTGGCCCCAGGCCGTATACAGATTAGCACGGTTGGCTACGTTACGGTTGCGACAGAAGTTCAACATGCAATACGTTGTGAGGCCAGCGCTGTAGCTGGTGGAAAACTACTCGGATGTCCCGGTCGATTACGGATTCAGTAACATTCCACGAGGGGGGGGGGGGGGGTCGCCTTCACTTTTGCAAAAGAGGCGAAGGAAAACCGACACATCACCTGTTGGCCCGGCATCGGGCCGACCGATCGCGACGGAGCGGTGGGGCGCGGTCGCGACGACGCGTGGCAGGGGTCGGTTCGCTCCCTTTTCTGAAACCGCGCCGCCCGTTTTGCTGTCGCAGGGAGGCGGTGGACAAGGGAAGCCGCACCGAGTGCCGCGGCCTCGACCACGCCGACCGGAGAAGGGACGCAGCACCCTCCCTCCTGTCGGAGCCTCTGCCCGACGGCAAGAGAGGTGCGTCTCGCGGTGGGGGAGCCCCAGCGGGGTTAGTGGTGGAAAGCGGATATTGGTGGAGAGTGGCACTCGATTTGCAGACCTCGGCGAGCTGAGTAGAACTGCTGCTGGGTGTTTGGCTCGCGACCTTGTGACCCGCAACACGAACAATGCTACTGGCGTGGCACTCGGGACTGCCGATTTCTCCGACCAGCTCGCAGACCCCCCCCCCACCCCCCATGCGTACAACGAAGGCCAGGTGGTCACCCAAGCCAGTGGATAACCAGGCTCAGCTCTGCTTCGCTTGCGAGATGCAATCACCCCATCGGGGGTGCACGTTTGTGTTTACGGGCGGCAGATTTGCATCGCGCCGCAAAATTGAATGCCTTTTGAATTTATGCCCTCCCTTGGCAGCGCAGGTGCCACTATAATATTTATTGCACGGAACTTTCATTAACGATTGAGTTTGACATTTGCTTACACAACACGCTGCCATCTGTGCCACACACGTCCTCTGTGCGTCTTATGGCACATGCACCGATTGCTTTAACAGGGTAAAATTTTAAATATTAATAATTGATGTCATCTTTATCTTCCTCTCCCCCACCCCACCTCCCCCCCTCCCCGCCATTTCTTTCCCTCTCCCCGCACTCCTTAAATGCCATCTTCCCTTCTCATCCTGTTCGTGTCTATCTCTCTCTCCCTCTCCCTCTCTCTCCCTCCTTCTCTCTCTCTCTGATATCACGATCCTTCTTGCTGTACGTGTGCCCGCTATCCATTGGGCAGTGGTCATCGTGCCAGTGATGGACAGCTCCGATCACGTGGCCCTCGTGGTGCTGGTGAGTACGAACAGCGTGGGACGGCGGCGCCGCTGATCGTTTTCCGCCGCCGCTCGCCACCCACCGTGATACCATTTGAAATTTCATTGTGCCCTGCCCTCACTTCGGCCCGAACAAGGCCCTACAAACTCAACCCCCCCCCCCCACTAATCGAAGTGTGGCGGGCAACAGCACCTGCGTCTGAATAATAGGGCACTTTTTCATTTGCGGCAATGGCTCTCAGCCCCGGTCACGGCAGTCTGCACTCCGCTTGAAAAGCTCCCTGCTGTGCCTTTCCAATTCTCGGTTCCAAGATAAATTCGGTACGGGAATGTCAGCCGAGCTCCTCGGCTAGACCGCACGCTACGAGTGTGACGATTCATCCCCCGCACCTGCCCAGCGCCATCCCCCCCCCCCATCACCACGAGTTCAGGCTCAATTTTGTGTGTGTTTCATTTGTCCAGTCACGGCACCTCGACAGTCCTCAAGTCAAATGTCAACTCAAAGTGATTTCCTACTCAAATAAGCATTTAAGTGTCCATCTCCGGCGTTACAAGCCCTGAGCCAGGAGTGGAAATTCCACATTCCTATGACAGGGGCAGGTCTATCTATCGGACAACCACTGTCGACTTTCCCCGACAGCGTGGCACTCCTCTTAATGACCAAGGAGGGACGATGGGCTCAGTCGATCCGCCCGAATAGGATTTGAACTCCCGACCTTCCCACCGCGAGCCCCCCACGCTCCACCGCTGGGCCACCGGGGCCAGATTCACTTCACTGCACGAGCCGCAATACGCCCCGCGCTACGAACCCAGCAGCAACTCGAGTCTGGTTGTCACGCAAGGTTAACTAACGTCAGTGACGAGTGATATCTCAACCGGTCCTGCCCCCCCCCCCCCCCCCCACTCTTCACCAACCAGCACTGACCATTAGGGTGATGTATCGGGCTCTATTGGCAAAGGGATGTACAAGCAAAAGTTGTTATTGTTTGCCACCGTCATCACTGACACAGCCTTTACAACAGAACCGGTATGCTGTTAATGCTGACTCGTAATGGAAATGTTATGCTGTAAGGTGGTACGTTTAAATCATTTCCGTGCATGAATGTATAATTCAAAACCGTTTGCCTGCGCATTTTTGATTGAAGGGAGGCCTCCCCACGGGTTCACCGGGTCATGGGAGTCGATTGACCATACTTCACCACGATGTTGAACTTGTTTTAAGGACCCGGATCGGGAAGCACATTCACTTAAGGTCTAAAGCTGCAATCGCCAGCGACACATCGTGTATAACGGTCGCAAGGTGCTTGATTTCCTTTATCAACGTGTTCTTGAAACAAATACGAATTGGCACGCGTTTCCCCACGAGACAACTCAATTTGTTTGGCCGCGTCGGGTGGTGGAGGTGCGGTGAGTAGCTCCCATCGCTATTCGACTCACGCGATCTATGCCAACAGACGAATCGTGAATCACGGTCAGTGTGTCTGTGTGTGTTTTAGCGAAGGGGCGGTAGCGTAGTGGTTGGCGCGCTGCGCTACAAACCCCACAACCCAGGTTCGATTCCCGCTCACGGCCCAACACCATTGAACCAGTCCTGGGCCTCCTCTAGGTCGACTCAACCTGAAATGAGTCCCTGGCGTGGCATGTAAACATCGCCACGAGGGAGACAAAGGCGGACGGGCATGGTGCTGGCCAGCTAACAACACTTGCCCCAACAGTCTGTTAAGGCTATACGGGGGGAGGAAGCGGGGATGTTTGTATTTGACAGTCTACATATACGTGGCGTGAATGCAGTTAATTATTAAACGCAATCACATTCAACCAAATCCCACAAAACGTTACACCAGCCTGCGTGCAACAGTGCGCGGCCGGGACGCGTGACGGATCGGAACGTTCACGCAGCGCTGTACCTTCCGCAGGTGCTCTGCGAACAGCTGTCGCCCATGGAGGACGCGTCGCTTTCGTTCCTGGAAAAGCACGTAAGCAACTTCCACCTCCTCGTTCGGACGCTAACGGAAGATGCCGTAATCTCTCCTCGGTCGAAGCATTCAGCTCGCCCTGCGCTCGGTGCGCTCGTGGTGCCTTTCTTGTTGTCCATCGCTGGCCGGGCATCGATTCCGCGTGAACTACGCGGTCGTTTGACGAAGGATTTTGATCTGAAACTTCAAAAGGAGTCCTGTGGCGAGTGCCACCTCCCCGTGTTTCCGCATTTGACGGCGACAGTTTTGGATGTGTTTTGCCCGCGGAGTTGGCACGTGGATGATGATGACGATGCCACACTCACAAGCTGTTCTGATGCAGTACGGCACACTTGTTCTTTCTCTAATGACCCAACGAATGTCAAACCCTTGCCAGCAACAAAGAGCTCTTTATTGGGTTATTACAGTACATCGTGCCTTTTTGGGGAGGGGGCGGTTTAAAATCTCACTGATGTTGCTTTGGTGTGAGGGATTCTCAAAATGGATTTGTAATTCAGAATTCACCAGTTTGATTCGGTGCCATGGTGGCGAGATGTTAACCACCTCGCCTGGTATAGCAGGAGGTCGTGGGTTCGATCCCGACTCTGACACCTGTATATTTGTAGTTTGCATGTCTCTCTCCCCGTGGTCACGTGGATTTTTCTCTGATTCCTCCGGTTTTTTTCTTCACATTTAAAATCACCACCACGTGTTCAGGGTTTTTGGCTGCTATAAATTTCCACTTGATAAGCCACTTCGTTGAGCTATCATTTATGGCCAGGTCATTTCTGAAAAAAGCTATGTAGCTCAGTGGCCCTTACCTGTTAGAATTAAAAAAAAGTGTAATCGTAGTTTAGTTTAGCTTTGCCAAAGCCGGACAACTCAAAGGAGCTGAGTTTATATTAAAGCATTGGTCCAAGTTTCTTAAATCTCCCCCACCGTCTCCTCTCCAATCAGCAGTGTCAATGGGTTACAGCACCGTTGTTCGGCAGATCGCACGTGTGCTGTGGGGTAAAGTGTGGGCAACTCTGTTCAGTGTGGATGACCAGAAGAAAAATTTCAGGGCTGCCCCTTTCCATTTAAATGTAATGTGTTCCACAGGTGCGTTCGTGCTCACATCCCCACCTTCCCGATGTGTCGATGGAATTAGTCGCTGAAAAGCCTACGTTCTGTACGCCGTTGCGAAGGAGTTTGTCCGTCACGGGAGGTGACTGCTAATGTTGACGTCCGTTTAGATTTGCCGCTTTGCAATGTTCTTTCGGCCTTGCCGTCAATGACAACGTGACGACACCTTCAATGGGCTGAGTGGTGTCCAAGGGGAGTGAGTTGTTGTTGTTGTTGTCGTGGGGTTTTTTGTAGAGCAACTTCAGAAGAATCGCACGTTGCGTTTTTAAACAGTCCATTATCACAATTTATCAGTCGGACCCTCGGGGGGGGGGGGGTGGGGGTCGGCGCCAGAGGTCAACGCATTTCAACGGTTGCTGCTCGTGTCTTGAAACATTCGCGCTCTCTCTGCTGTTGCACCTAATGACGAACGCACTTTTGTCCACGATCCATCCTAATGAGATCCTCGCATCTGTGCCGTGCCCCCTGCCTTTGTATTATTTTCCCACTTTATGGTTTTTTGCCGAGCCAATGTGGCTTAAGAAGAAAGCCGTGGGGGGGGCGGAGGAGGGGGGGGTGTATTTTGCGATGCCCCTCCGTGCAGGCGTCGAACGCCGCTAATGAATGAGATGTTTTGCTTCGTTGTGCTCACGCACGCACTGCTTTGAAAATATGATTAATGGAACGCGCCAGCGTCATGTTTGTATTACCCCCCCCTCCTCCTCATCCACTTCGTCTGCTTGCGTGCTAATGAGCTGTTGATGATGCACTTATCGTGGGCACTGTTCAATGCCATAATTTGCTTCTATCACCGTGTTCTCCAGATTATAAGACAACTGCAGAAAGTCACACAAAAAACGCACTCAAAAAACTTGCGTCCGATGCCTGATGTTATTTTAGATTTACTGAGCGCCTGCAACTCATTGCGCTTAAACAATGTTAGAAAACCCCTTCTGCAACGTTTTGCTCTCAAAAGACAGGGGTGGGTGGGGATGGGGAAATTGCATCTTAGAATCTGAATATTAACGTAATTGTTATTATTGTTGTTATAATTCATCATTACGAAACTAATCATTGCAGATTAAAAGTGTGCTGATGCGTTTGCTCACAACATTTAAAGAGTGACATACATCATGCACATGTACAGTTCTTTTGTCAATCTACTGCTGGATGAGGGTCTCTCCACACCGAGTGGGTCGCGGGGGGTTATTTGCCCATATTTCACCACGCTGGCTGGTTGGTAAAGGAAGGGAGCATAGTACAACAGTGAATGTTGCTGTACTACCCTCTGATGCCCACAATGTAGGCCCCCACCCCACAGCAAGCCTGTGTTTTGCGGATGGCGTCCGCCCATCCAATGACTATTCCTGCGTAGTTTCCAAGACGTGATGAGATTCGGAAAAGTCCAGGTGATTATCATGGAGGTTAAATATCTGTATGTATCTGCTAGCAATGAACCTATTTTGTGCATCGTTAACAAAAATACAATTTCTGATATTATAGCATAAGATAAGTGAGGTTGTCGTACAAGTTGAATAAAAAATGTTGTGAATGTTGTCTTCATTATGAATTTTAAAGAATATTTTTTGCAATTTCCCCATCAGATTGCCGTTTGCTACAATCGGATGGCCGCCGTTCCTCGCCCCTCGGCGCAGTCCCACAAGGGACTCCCTTGCTCCCAGAATTCTCTGCCAAAAGCCAGACTGACCAATCGGTGCCAGGCAGTGGACGACAATGACTCGGCAGACCACAAGATCTTGCAGCTCTGCGGTGAGTTGACTCAACTGACTTATTAGTCTTTCGGGATACTGCGTTTGGCAGTGATGCACACGCAGAATTCAACACGTTGATCAATAATACCGCCCCCTTCAAAGAGGAAAATCGTAATATGGAACATTTATGACATGTTGGGCAATCGCTCTTCTTCGTGGCAGAGAGAGGGATAATCTGCTATGAAAAATGTGTTATATACAAACTCATTACACGTTTTTTTGTAAAGCAAAATGCGTAACAACGTATCTAAACAGACCTCCGATCTGTGTCTTCACACACAAAATAAAGCAGCTTGCATTAATCGGCCTATTGGCATCCCAGACAAATTTCATCCAGCAACATTTGTTAAAGGCAGCAAACTCTCATTGACCACTTTTGACCATCTGGATCTCATCGGCAGAGTTCAGGCTTGTTGAACAAATGCTGCAGGTTTGCCGTGCGGTATATGCTAGAGAACTCCGTCTAAATGATTGGGACCTGTTCAATGCAAAAAAACAAACTGTGTCGTACTCAAACGCTCTTGAGCGTTGTTGCGCAGTGTTATGGGTGATAGAATACATTTATATACAAGCAGACCTCCGTTCAGTGTCTGAATATGAATACGTTCTCTTTTAGTCATCGGCCTATTGGCAGACTGATCGTCAGTTGTAGCGCTAAAATAGACAAACGCAGAGTATTTGTCTGCTAAACATGTCCACGTGATTAAGCCACTTCGTCGAGATATAATTTGTGACCGAGTCGCTTCTGAAAAATAGCTGTACAGCTCAGTGGGCCTTACCTGGTAAAATAATAAAAACGTTACATCATGGGACCTCCTTTGCCAGTACCAAAATATACCAATAGGGTTTTATCCCTTTTTTCTGGCAACAAAACTGACACCTTTTGCAAGGAATCATGTCTACATTAACCGCAATACTTGCAGTCAAATGCAAACAAAAACACAATACTCTGGTAATTTATGCATTGTTTTTGAAACTGATTGGTCCACACCAGAGACAGCTTTCTTTGGAGCCTCGTCTCATATGGTGTTCGACCAGATGACGCCAAAAGGCGCACAGTTCAAGACAACGCATTACCAGAGTAATAAGGGCTCAGGGGTAAGCAGCTACATCATGACTGCAAGTATTGCGTTAATGTAGACATGATTCCTTGCAAAAGGTGTCAGTTTTGTTGCCAGAAAAAAAAGGGGAAAAACCCTATTGGTAAGAAAAACGTTGTTGAAAATAGTTTAATGTCATTTGGGCCTGGGGGGGGGGGGGCTGTGCTTATTACAACCCTAAGTGCCGTCATAGAGCTCTTAAAATATGCACCACACACGTGACTGTGTTTCCACTCGAGATACGCAGGGAACCACTGAAATGCCCTTCAGCATTTTGGATCTCGTCAGTGATGAACAGCTGTGCTGGGACTAAACAACAGCCAAAATAATGACAACGTATAAACCCTGCCACACGTTCCCAACCGAAAAGACAAACAATTGCAATGTTCGTCCAGTCGCTTGACGCAGTGAAACTGACCAGGGCTTCATATTTTGTGAGTAGCTGGTAGATAGTGAGTAAATATCGGCACTGGGAAGACAAAGGTGATCGGGTGTGGTGCTGGCCGCACTACCCCCGTCGTGTGCCACTCCGGCCTTCATCGGCGATCGCTATACCAGGCAAAGATTCCCCCATGTAGCCTTGGACAGACTTTTTTGGGGAAAGTGTTGTTTAGCGAGCGCCTATGAAGGCTGCTGGCAAGGCACACGAGGGGGTGTGGGTGTACAACATCACGCCTGGCCGCCTTTAGTCTCCCCAGTGCCAGTATTTTGTACACACCACACCAGGTATTCATCTCAGGTTTGAGCCGACATTGAGGAGGGCCAGGACCGTTTCGGATAATCCTCACCGGTGTTGGCCGCGAGCGGGAATCGAACTCGGGGTTCTCACCGCTAACCGCTACACCACCGCTCCGCTCCCCACACCGAGCTAAGACAAAGGCGCGGACACGCGGGCAACATGAGCGTATCGCAAGTGAGGTGTCAGCGGAGGTGTGTCTCGGACACGGTCCACGTCGTTCTGAATCGACTCCACGGGCAGGTGGGGGGGGGCGGCAGTTGGCACGGGGGCCACGTCTCGGTCGGGAACCTGTCTGAGCGACGGAGAGTGACGGGGGCATGAAGGGGAGAGAGGTGGCGGAGGGGTGGAGAACAAAGAGGGTCAGCAGATGCAAGCAGGGGAGGGGGTGACAGCACCTTTAGCAAACCCCCCCCCCCACCCCCTAGGTGGGATATTAATTACCCAGGAGCTGTAGCAGCTTTGCAGATGCCGACACCGCAAATGTCAGTTCGGGCGCTCGGGGGAGAGGTGTCTGCGTGTGTGTGTAGATCAGGTGATAAGGACCTGCTAGTGGGGAGGCACCCTATCGCGTGTGCCATCTAAATAACAAAGCTTCTGTCCGTGGATGTGAAGGCTTTGCCCAGGGCTCATTACGCATTCCGTGGAGTGGCCCATGGTCGCTCAAGTATTTTTTTTTCGTGTGTGGCGTTGTTTGTTTTGGTTTATTCATGCACGCACCACCCTCCCACAAACAAACACTCGCGCGGGCACACAAAGACAAAGATCCCCCGTATAGCCTTAACAGACTCTCGGGGCAAGTGCTGTTAGGGAGCACCTATGAAGGTCGGAACGGGACACGAGAGGGTGGGTGGCCAGCACCACGCCTGACCGCATTTGTCTCCCTAGTGGCGATGTTTACTACACACTGCACAAGCTACTCATTTGAGGCTGAGTCAACCTAGGGGAGGCCCAGGACCGGTTCAGATAGTCGTCACTGGTGTTTGCCGTGAGCGGGAATATAACACGAATCAAAGGGTTTGTAGCACAGCGCAGCGCTAATCGCTGCACTACTGCTCCCCACAACAACAACAACCGCCATTCGCCACTAAGTGGCGGTGACGTCAACACGACGCTTGTGCCAGGCTGTATGCACCTTGAGGCCACGTGAAGTGTCGAACGCCCGCTGGCAGGAGGTCACGGGGCAGACCCAGGTGCCACGGGTCAACTGACACACACAAACACACAACACACACACACACAACACACACACATCCACACTGCCCGTTGCCTCCAAAGGTTTAAAATGTCACCCCATCTGAAATTGTGATATTATTTATTCATGTATTGATTTCTTATTTATTTTCTTGCGTTGTATTCATTTATTTATTATGTAAGGCTCTAAAGCGGCGCATTTTAACGTAACTTTGCATCGGCAAAAAGAGAGAGGGGGCCCAACTTTTGGAGTGCCTCGCCACTGTTGATTTTATGTTGGTTGAATGAGTCTGTTGAATAGCTTTTTAAAAATTAAATTGGCTTTTAATGTATTTTGTTAAGCAGTTTCAAAGTCTCAAAAGCAATTGTCGATCGGCCATCTGAATTTTTTATTGCATTATATTTTTCCTTTCCTAGCTGTTTTTTTAAAATATATTATTTGGTTGGCGAGGCGATGTTTTAAACATATTGCCCATTGAAAATATATATTCTAAGATTCATACGTATGTAAAAAATAAAACATTATTTTACATTCCTGTGATCCAGGTAACACTTTAACAAATGTCACACAGGAAAATTAGATGGTGAGGATAACTCATTGAAAAACAGCAACCAACACCTGGCAAGATATAAATAAAATAAATCATGAGAATGCATCACAAATCTCCCAACAGTTCCATTAGGTTTCAGTGGCATAATATCTGATAAGTATTTTTTCCTCATTTTTTTTCTTTCCCTCTCGGTGTAGTGGTAATTACGGCACGTGTCGGATGGAGAGATGCGCTGAGGGGTATTACCGAGTCCAACATCGAGTCGCCTTTGATGGGGCTAATCTAAGGGGGCCACAAGCGTTTTCAGGCTTTTCCGTGGCACATTAGCGGAGCCTGGAGGATGCTGACATTAAAATGGCTTTTCTTGTCACCTTTTGTGAGACTGTGCCTGCGCTCGAAGTGTCGAAGATAATACAAGCTCGTCAGCCCAGAAGCCACTTATGCATATGAATGGCAACGTTCGATACGGCACTCTGCGAATGGGAGACTACATTTCAGTGATATAAATAATAATGATGCAAAATTCGAAGTGGCTCAGGAGCACGTCCTACTTTAGTAGTTTAATGCCAACGATGAAATATTAAATCACACGAATTACGGGGGAATGGTAAACACATGAATATTGAGATGCATTTTTTGTTTGCATGGAATGTTAAGTGCAGTTGCAAGATTATTTTTAGTTCGATTTTTTTTTTTGGGGGGGGGGGCGGGGGGTGGGAATTGGTGGAGTTGTTTGCACACTGCGCTATGTACCTGGTAACCTGAGTTCGATTCCTGGCCACCGCTAACATCGGTAGCGCGTTATATATGAAGCAGTCATAGGTACCCCCCTTTCACCAACCTACACTGACCATATTCTTAGGTTTTTTCGGTAAAGTCACGTAGGTAAAACATCAAAATTAATAAAAATAAAATAAAATAAAGATCACGACGTTTCGGAGGCAACACAAGTCTCCGTCATCAGGTGGGACCGTCAGCCATATTAGCTGCATCAAGTGAGGCAATGATTCAAGATGTAATCCTCACTTGATGCAGCTAATCTGGCTGTGACGGTCCCACCTGATGACGGAGACTTGTGTTGCCTCCGAAACGTCGTGATCTTTATTTTATTTTATTTTTATTAATTTTGATGTTTTACCTACGTGACTTTACCGAAAAAACCTAAGAATATGAATCCTTGCAGTCACGAAAGCTTCAAATCTACACTGACCATTGCGGTGAAGTATGGTCAAATGACCTCCATGACCAACAAAGCATGGGGGGGAGGGGGGGGGTCCTTCGTCCAGAAGTGGATTGGTAATGACTGAAAAATACTTGCGATATATTCGTACATAACAAGGGGTAAATATGTTTAGGCATTGAAGGTATGCGCCGTTACTCTGCTTAATAACAGCCATCTTTTACACCAATTTATGTAGCTGATGAACATCATATTTATGCGGTATGCAGATCATCACATCTCATGGAAGCCTGGAGTTAATTTTAGCCGAAGCTGTCTTTGTCGGCGAAAAATATTTCTTCACACGGCCCATCACATCCAGTATATCTTGCGCTATGGCTGTGGCTACTAGTTGCACGCTGACTTCAGTCTACCAGCGACGCAGAAGTTATTGAGAAAGTCGTGCAAACAAATATTGGGGGGGAGGGGGGGGCAGGTGTGACACATGGTACGTCCCCCCCCCCCCCCAAAGAGAAATTTAACTTTTCATATGAATAATCCTCCAGTTGTGTGACTTTCAAGGGATCAGTTTGTCGCTCAAATCCAAGGCGTCCAGTTTGTCAACATGCATCAACGACGCCTTCACGTTTCATGGCCCCCATGTCTGTCTGCTAACCTTTAGAAGCGAGCACATGGGCAGCCCCTGAATGTATTATTCTTGGCACTGTTCAGTCTGTCTTTCATCACTTTACCAATTACATGGATATTGGTTGATGCTGTAGATGACATTAAGGGATAAAGAATTAGTTGGCAGTCATTGCACCTGTTGCCTCTTCTGTCTGGACAATTTTATTATAACGATGAGGATGAGACAAATTGCTCTCACCTGCTTCTAAGTGTAAAGATGTATAACTGCTGGTGGAGACCTTGTGATGAATAAACAAAACGCAACGCTTTCGTCAATAGCACTGTTGCCTTAAAAAGGGAAAGTATATAATAGGCGACATTTTGACCCAAAGGTCCTTCTTCTCAGCACATTTAGAGGCCAGAACGGTCACCAGACTTCACCAGAGGTCATCTCTCTGCCCTCTTTAATGTGTAGAAAAAAAGTATTTTACCATGTGAAACTAAAACAAACGAACCATTTTGCCTATTTTTCGTTGTTCTACCCAGGAAAGCGGTGGCATCACTGCGTAAAGATGTTTTTGCGTTTGTCCTATATCGCTCTCCTCAATGTTACTTTGTTGTTTCGGATGGTACTGCGTGTTGCTTGCCGTGAAGTGCGACGTTTCGCTCCACGTGCCAGAAGCTTGAATTAATATCCTTAAGTAGCTCCCAGCACTTTGAGCGAAACGTCGGACATCATGCCACTGCTTCTGGATAACAGCCCCAGTGACCTGCCCTCACGGTACAGATTTCCGTGATTCACTGTGTAACACAAAAATGTTTTTGTTCCTGGGTAGTAAGTGTGTTATTTTCTAATTGCTTATGCCTCAAAAGTACAGAAAATGGCTATTATTCCCCACAAACTTTGCTTTTGTGACCAGAACAGTGATATTTAAAAATTTACCTATTTTCAATGAGAAAACGTGGTGTGCATTTATGTCATTCCTTCATGTAAAGTCCTGGTCACTAACGCAACGTTTGTGGGGAATAAAAGCCATTATCAATACTTTTGAGGCATAAGCAATTAGAAAATAACACTTACAACCCAGGAAACAAAAATCGTGTTACATAGTTACCAAACATCAGGTGCGTGCAGTGTGCAGGGGGCCTCCGTGTGCATTTGGAAATTGATCATCACTAAGAGGCGGGGCCGTGGAGGCATCGCGAGGACTGAAGTTTAGAAATTCTGGCCTAGAAAGTCCCAAGGCTTTGTGGCAGCGGTCTTCATTTCAAGGCCCGCGAGCCACTGGTGGCCTTTCGTGCGGCCCCTGCCGCACCCGTCGTGCTGCTGTCAAACCCAGCGGTTTCAAATGGTGTGGCCGCCCTCGCACCGGTGATGTCTTATCGGCGAAAGCGGCCCCCCCTCTGAAAATTAGTAAAGAACACGGCTTTATGGTCAAATTCTCTAAATTTTAAACGTCGATATTGTCCAGGTATTATATTCATTGCTGCTGTCAAACCCAGCGGTTTCAAATGGTCTGGCAGCCCTCGCACCGGTGATGTCTTATCAGCGAAAGCGCCCCCCCCCCCCCTCTAAAAATTAGTAAAGAACACGGCTTTATGGTCGAAACATTTTTTTCTTCAAAATTTTTTAACGTCGATATTGTCCGGTTGTTATATTCATTACTTTTATAAGCAGAAACACACTCGTAAAATTGACTACCGCGCTTATAATTTAATGGTTTGCATTTCTGTTTGGCACACGTAACATCGTGCGTCTTCATCGCTGACATCTGCACATCCCTGTCGGGCTATTACGGCGCAGTTATACGATTACAATTTCCATTTATGTTGCATTTAAATGCAACTGCACTGTACAAAACGGTGCGGCAGGTTCATCGTGGGGTCAGAGAGGCATATATTTAATATATAAGTGTACAATAAAAGAAAATAAAAATTCAGTCCGTTTTCACTCCACTGCTGGATGAATGGCTCCTCACGTAGTGTCAATAATGGGATGGTTGTACGAACCAAATTTCGCCTCGCTGGTCAATGCTGGTTGGTGGGCGCAATGGACATAGACTTGGCAGCAAAGCGGAGTTACAACAACAGTCCTCTGTGGCCCGTAACGCGACACAACCCAACAGCGGCCTATAACACCCGTTGCATGCGCAGTGAGCAACCCATCAAAGCCCTGTCGTGGCTCAAATCCACGCTGAGCTTCGCGAACACCAAAGCACAACCAACGGTGAAAGTGTAACGTTGGGCCAACGTTGGCTCGTGGGCGGAGCCGTCGGACCAGCGTTGGCGTGATGAATTCCTGAAGGTGGAACGAAGCGTCTTTCTGTTCCTTGGTGTGATTTGGAAATTCAAGGTGGTGGTGTCGATGCTTTCTACTTTGGCTGCATCTCGTCCTGTTCTCTCTTCACAGGGGAACTTTATGACCTCGACGCGGCCTCCCTTCAGCTGAAGGTCATTCAGTTTGTAAGTACGCGTGCGATGGGAAGCAAAACCCAAAACACATCGACCTTGGCACAGATAGCACACCCATACCCAGCCGGGATGTCAATTCAACGCTTACATTTCGTGTTTTAAAGGATGTAGTTTTTTTTAAAAATCTGTCTTGAAATTATTGTGATTATTTTTTTATTCTAAAAAAAATCCAAAACTCTTCGTCAGTAAAATGATGAGAACGCCTCATCGCAGCAGGAACATACGTGGAGGCTGGCAACGATCAGACTGAACAACACGTAAAGGTGTGCTGCTCGCAAGCAGTTGGAAGGCGTGATCCCCTTCCGAGGCTTTCCTCTCACGCCGTGTGGCCACCACATTGTGTGTACCACGCTCTTTGTGGGGGCGAGATATTGTCTCCCTCGCCTGCTGTAGAGAAGCTCGTCGTTTCGATCCCAACCTCCATGTATATTTGGAGTTTGCATGTTCTCCACGTGCTCAGAGTGTATTTTTATCCGGGTCCTCCGGTTTTTTTCCTCCACATTTAGAATAAACGCGCGTTTAGAGCATTTGGCTGCTATACATTTCCACACGAAAAGCCACTTTCGTTGAGCCATCATTTGTGGCTAGGTCGCTTCTGAAAAAGAGCTCCGTGGCTCAGTGGCCCTTACCCAGTAAAATAAAATAAAAACATTGTTTAATCGTAGTTTAGTTTAGCTTTGCCAAAGCCAGAGAGCTCAAATAAGCTGAATGTGTGGTCATGTTGATTGGGTCAGAATGTGGCCAGTGTCAACAGGCATGATTTTTTTTTATTTCTCTGCTTACCACTCTGGAGGCGGGGGGGGGGGGCTTGCGAGGAGAACAAGAAAAAAATGCTGAATATTTTGCGCAATAAATCCGCCTGCAAACATTACGCGTGTAATTTGAGCAAACAGAATGTGTTGGTTGTCTAATGAGAACCAAATGAAAAGAGGGTAGTGGTGGAATAACAGAGGCGGATGTTTAATGTGCCTATTTCTTTTGGGATACGGAGTCGATGTGCCTTTGAGGCTTAAACAGATGTCTTAATATTAACATCAGAAATGCAATTATCCACTGCCGAGTAGGACCATATTACCCAGTTAGAAAATGATTATAATAATATGATGTTGCATTAAAATAGGTGGATCGAGCAAGCACCTGTGTTATATATTATTCTGGTAAAAAAAAAACTAAATTCAGTATTAGAATTCCACCAAAACAATGTAATATTTGTGCATCGAGTGTCGTCACTTTGCTCATGAATTATATTTGTATTGGCCGATAAAATAAATAAACAAGTAACTGAAGTATTTCAAGAGACAAAGACACAGTCACACATTGCGATCCTGACTCCCAGCAGTTTCCAGCAACGTCTTAGAGCCCAGTTCATTTTTGTAACCAGGAACGACGAAAAACATTCCACGAACCACTCTTCCAATTAGGCAGTAATTTCTCTTCCTCTGCAATAATGGCACTAATTTAATAAACCAGAACATTGTGCACGTTTGGCTGAACGTGAATATGCCCAACCATAGCTTTTATAATCTTTTCCTTCTTCCGAGCCAGAAAAATTCCATTACTCTGTGGGCTCCGCTGCTCGGATTTCTCTCTCTCTCTGTGTGTGAGTCTACTACTGTGCCTCTTCGAGTGTCGCATCCACTGTGCATACTTACGAGACTCATAGACGCACATACACTGCAATGATCCATAGCCTTACATAGAGATCCATACCCTTCTATAGAGACTCATAGACGCACATACTCCGAAATTATTCATCATCTTACATTGAGACTCATAGACGCACATACACTGACATGATCCATAGCCTTGCAAAGAGATTCATGGATGCACATAAACCCACATGATCCATAGCCTTAAATAGATATTCATAGCCTTGGATAGAGATTCATAGATGCACATACACTGACATGATCCATAGCCTTACACAGAGATTCATAGAATTACAGAGAGACCCAGAGATTTCCATATTCTTCTCAGCAAAAATGTCCCATTATTATCTGGGTTTGGCTGTTCCAAGTACTCCCCATCTCTCTAGTCGTGTCCACTATCCTCGTATCTCGTTCCACGGCATCCTTCCATTACCCTCCGTCTTAATATATACCTTCTGCCCTGCGCTGGTGTCTCGTTGTTTTAAAGAGCTACGTCTCAAAATACCGACACAGTAAGCTTTTTTGCGCATAGTTTATTAAAATCCAAGTGGAAATCCAGTCCCCCGCGTATGGACTGTTGAATCCGTAGTTTATTCCCTTGGCCAGGATAGCAGCACGGAGGTCTGCGGACGAACTTGCGTCGTTATCGCAAAATCGATCGTTCCGGAGCGAAGCAACGCCGGGCTCTCCTCTCGTAAAACTGCCAGTCACGTGCTCGGTGGTGGAGCCCTCCTGTAAATGCCGCTGCCTAAACAAACGGCACTGAAGCGTGCGGCAGATGAACGGAACACGCAAGGGCAGAGGGCGGGGTGGGAGCAGGGGCGGGTGAGTAGGTGGGGGGGGGTGTTACTGAGAAATCTGTTGAGATTTACGGGGTTTCTTCACGGATGGCGGAGTGTGCGCGTGTGCGTGCGCGCGCTGGGTCTTCCGTGCTGAAATAGCGGCCAGGGTGGGAGCGGTTGATGCGGGTTGTGTGTGTGTACACGTGTGTGGGGAGCGGTAGTGTAGAGGTCAGCGCGCTGCGCTATGAACCCGGCGACACGGGTTCGATTTGCACTCGCGGCCAACACCAGTGACGATTATCTGAACCGGTCCCGGGCATCCCTTAGGTCGACTCAGCCTCAAATGAGTACCCGGTGCGGTGTGTAAACAATGCCACTAGGGAGACAAAGGCGGTCGGGCGTGACTGCTGGCCACCCACTCCCTCGTGTACCGTTCCGGCCTTCATAGGTGTTCGCTAACAGCACTTGCCCCCGCAGTCTGTTAAGGCTATATGGGGGATCTTTGTCTTTGTCATACTATGTGGGGAGCGGTAGTGTAGCGGTTAGCGCGCTGCGCTATGAACCCGGCGACACGGTTTCGATTCCCGCTCACGGCCAACACCAGTGACGATTATCTGAACCGATCCCGGGGCCTCCCCTAGGTCAACTCAGCCTCAAATGAGTACCCAGTGCGGTGTGTAAACATCGCCACTAGGGAGACAAAGGCGTTCGGGCGTGGTGCTGGCCACCCACCCCCTCGTGTACCGTTCCGGCCTTCATAGGTGCTCGCTAACAGCACTTGCCCCCGCAGTCTGTTAAGGCTATATGGGGGATCTCTGTCTTTGTCATACTCCTATGACCACCGTGGATCGTGATCCCCGTGTCCCCCACCCAGTCACGCTTGGGAGCGCCCCCGTGACTCGAGCGCAATCATTGGGCCGCGGTTTTCTTGAAACGTGGTGGCGAATTCGAGAGCAAAATCGATGTATCGAGGCGCTCCGGCATGGGCACGAGATTTGCGCTGAGCTCCAAGCTCAGAGGGGCGAATTGTCAAAAACTTAAGGGCCTTTATCCCCCACCTGCTCTTCAGCTTTCGCTCTCGTGTTGGAGATTTCTTTCGTAGATTTGTGACCGAATCGTTTAATGTCCCCACTTTCGTCGCCGTCGTTACTTTGGATTCAGTTTTTTCTTCTTCTTCATGAATCACCAAAAAAAATATAAAAGTCATTTTTACGAAGTGGGGTTAATGGCCGGAACATTCAGCTGAAACTAAACTGAACATTTGTCATTTAACATTTTTTTGTTACTTGCTACTCTTCTATAACTCCTGTTTTTACCCCACGAGAGTAATCCCCGCTGTAAATGCTGCTGCAATTCGGTTATCGCTGCACAGACACCACCTCTGGTTTAAGTCGAGGCTCAATTCCATCCTCTTATCCCCTGGCCACGAGTGACTTTCTATTCTCTCTGAAGTGTCTGGAACTGTGCCTTTATCAAAGCATCATCATCATCATCATCATCTCCTTACCTCACACTCTGCCCTGCAGCTCTTCACCACCTCCAATTCTTATTTTTAACTCCTCCTCTCTTCCCAAGCCTTGTCAATGTGCATGTCTCGCCTATTCTGCAGGATTCTTGCGATATCGTCAAAATGCTACGCTTTGTAAATCGGTATTGTACCCTCTGCGCATGCGTCTTGTTTGCCATTGTACCTTTGAGTCCATACTCTTGGGTTCTTTCAGTAAAGTCACGTAGATGAAAAATAAAAATAATAAAAATAATAAAATGAAAATAACTAAATTAAATCACGACTTTACCGAAAGAACCAAAAAGTATGGATCCTTGCAGTCACGAAAACTTCAAATCTAGAATTACTTTTGAGTCGCCAAACCCTATCTCGCACAATCGCAGACGGGCGATGACACTTATCGGCCGATGACACGTTGCCCACCACCGAGTAGCATTGTTGGCACACAAACAAAAACACGCGCACGCAAAAACCTTCGCGCAGTGATGGAACTCAGATGGCACAGTCGATGAGAGGACAGAGCTGAGAACCAGTCTATTGCCTACGATGAAATTGCTGTGATGTATCTCAGAAGGGTTGAGCCTCGTTAGCAATTGGATGCAAAAATGCGTGATAATTCTGGGGGCATTGTAGACGTGGCCTTTTAGGAGGACAGGTGACAAAAGTATGACAGCACAGCCGTGGATTCTTTCATCCATCCGTGCAGTACTTTAAAGTGACATCCTTTTGCAAGCTTGTGTTTTCTCCAGCTTCCTCACTTTCCACCCACATGAGGTCGAACATCACGACGTAGCAGCACCCTCCTGAAACAAATTCTTCCGACTCACGAGTTGGCATGCACCACGGAGCAAGAAAAAAATGTTCCCCTCGCATCTACCCGACGCGATTTCGGATCGTACCGCGCGCTGTTCGCCACCGTGTCCGGCGTTTCGCTCCACGTGCTCGCAGCTTCTTCTTAAGCCAACTGCGTCGAGTTGCTGAAAAAGCTCCCGGCGAACGGAGTGAAACGTCGGACGTCGTTCCGAACGACACGCGGTGGGATGACGACCCGACAACGCACGGGAGAGCTGCGAGGCAGCACAGCGGCGATGGCGCTCACGCCCGCGCACGGTGGTAACGTCCTCCCCTTGTCTGCGGTGTTGCTTCCCCCCCACACAGCTGCAGCAGGAGACGCAGTCCGAGTGCTGCTGCCTGCTGCTCGTCTCGGAGGATGCCAACCAGCTCTTCTGCCAGGTGCGGATGGCGCAGGCGGCACCACCACATGCTGTGGGGCGGACGTGGTGGGGTTGGGGGGGGGTAATTTATCAAATTTAACAAATTTGGACAATGAAACCCGGCACGTGATGGCCTCCTCTTGCGAACTACATCTCCAGCGTCTGCTGCGTAGCAGACGACGCGTCACTTTGCGGACGGTTACGCACCCGCGGCCGTGTTCAGCCCCCAGAGAGCGCAACCTCTCGAAGCCAGGTCACGGTGAGGCAGCGCAAGGTCGTCACCAGCGCAGCGCGTGTGGCAAACGGCGGGTGCTGGGCCCTGACACCACCAGATGTCCCTTTGACACCACCCAAGTTCGCCGTCGGTGACTCACTGCGATGGTTGCCCCCCCCCCACACACAGCAGCTCTACTGCCCCCTCCACCCCCATCCGTGAGGAGTTGCAGCCAGGCCTGGCCCCGTGCCCATGGGCACGTCCAGCACGTGCTCTGCTAGTGGCGACCTTGCGACAGACACATTTTTACGCGGATTATTGAAAGTAGATTATTTCATTGATTTAATTCATTTTGAAATGTGGTGATATTTTTCGCTCGCTGACCGTGCCTCCCGGTCGCCCTTGAGCCACGCGCCGCCGGCGAGCGAGAGGCGCTGGGCGTCGTTTGCCGTGGGCCATGTGTCAGACGTGCCGGCCGGGCTCCTGCTGCAGGTTTTGCTCTCGCGGGTTTAGTTTCGCTCGGAGAGGTCGCCGCTTGCTCGCGTTGCGGCGATCCGCACGTTCGGCGCAGCGACTTCTCGACCCTTTGGTGCCGGAACGGGCGCACAAATCCACGGGGCCGTCTGGCTGCGGCCGTTTTGTTGTAAAGAACTGGGGAGAGAGCGACGTTACGATTGGGTGCAGGAGGAGGGTGGAGGAGGACACATTTAGATTGTCTATTTCCAAACGATGCGACGAGGTTATGTTTCAGAGACGTTTTCTTTGGCGGTAGGCGTTGCCGACATTTTTTCGTTGGTTTCCTTTCAGAACGGGAATTCTGGAGCCTCGCAACCTCGGGGATATGAATAACGGAGTTCGTTTCTTGTACAAACAAATGCATCAATATTTGTTATTAATAGGTTAACTTACACGTAGTGAACATATTGGTTTTCTGTACGCAAAGGACAAAAATAGTAAGGGATAAAAAAATTAAGGCATTGTATTGTTGTTTGTGGCACGCAGACGCGACTCATAATACACCCACAACATTAATCAATAATTTGGACTGCGTTAGGTGGACGTTTCAGGCAATGGTCCTTCAGAGTGAAGGACAAATTAAATGCAAACACCATGCCGAGTTTGCGTACCTTTAGACTAATGCAATGAAGCAGACAAAATAAACAACACGCAAAACAAACACGCCGAATTAATGATACCTTACAAACGAAACCGAACAGTGACTATGCATAACTGATGGTGTAATGCTTTGGGGGGGTGGTAGTGTGTGTGTGAAATTAAATCTTTTAAGCCTCACTAATAATGTTTGTAAACATAATTAAGCCAACTCTTTTGTATTTATCCTCGGACTCTCTGATGTTCTCTTCATCGTTATTTCGCCCCATCCTTTTGTTGCAAGATACGAATTAAATAAACACCCGGTGGTTCCTATTCAGATGCTGTCTACGGCTTTAAAGGGCGGGGGGAAAAAAGCTCTAAATCGAACCGTGGGCTGAGAAAAAAAATGTTTAGCCTTTGACTTTACCGAAAAAACTAAGAGTATGAATCCTTGCAGTCACGAAAGCTTCAAATCTAGAACCAGAGTTTGTTGTTTAGTGAGCGGAGTGTGAGCGTGCATCGTGTACCAATCTCCGCGAGCTTGTCTTCTCCCTCTTCAGGTTGTTGGCGACAAAGTTCTGGAGGAAGAAATCAGCATTCCGGTAAGTTCGGGTCGCCGCCGGCGCAGAATTTTTGCCCCCATGCACGGTGACCGGGACGTTCGCTTCGTTTGCAAAACGAGCGTCTTGCTTCGGCGACACATTCATTGTTGTGCATTCATCACGGAGCGTGTGACACGTTCATCGTTGTGTGTTCATCGTTGAGCGTGTGACACGTTCATCGTTGTGTGTTCATCACGGAGCGTGTGACCCGTTCATCGTTGTGTGTTCATCACGGAGCGTGTTACACGTTCATCGTTGTGTGTTCATCGCGGAGCGTGTGACCCGTTCATCGTTGTGTGTTCATCGCGGAGAGTGCGAGCCAAACGCGATTGTGAAGCGGGCATAATACTGGCCGACGGGCCGAGCTTCAAAGGCGAGTGATGTTTCCGTTAGAAATCGGTCACCGTGGCTATAATGAGCAGCGAGATAAACAAATTATTGGAGGGGCAGTGGTGCAGTGGTTAGCGCCGCCCCCACCCACCCACCCACCCCACCCTCGCCCCATGAACCCGATGCCCTGAGTTTAATTCTCGGACACAGTTAACATTACTGGGGAGCGATATCTGAACCAGTCCGTCCTGAGCCCTTACCCCCCCCCCCCCAACCGCATTCCTTCATAATACACGTTTTTGGGTTAGATCGCGTTGTTTATAAATGTGTCGTAACCCTCCACCACCCGACACGGCCAATCAGCAAAAAAGCGTCACGTTGACAAAAAACAAAAAAGTTCACGGCTTTAGCCCACCGGTGTGTTGAAGAGTGAATCCACAACATTTACAATTTTTTGAGTACGACGTTTCGCTGGTAATTACATCCAGCATCATCGGGCAATTCGCCACTGACCAGCATGGTGAAACATGGTGCAATAGCCCCCATGACTTACACATCACGCGGAAGCCTAAATCGAGCAGTAGATTGTCAAAGGGCTGTACGTTATTTTTAACTCTGTGGCCTTTTGATACTGGCAAAAGGGTCCCATATATATGTAACTGCTCAACCCCAGCTATTAATAATTTGAGACTTGCATTGCCTTTCTTACTGTTTGTCTTTTGCTGCTTTCTGGTGAGACTAGGCCACAAAGAAGGCTGTCGCTGGTGTAGACCCATCCGTGTCAAAGACAAAGTATATATAACACTGGTCAACAAAAAAACAAAATTCTGGCCTGGACTTTTGCAGCTGTTTTAGACTAATTTCAGGGTGCTGATTCCAAATCTGATCTCAGATTTGCTCTATCACATCTCATTTTTATGCTATCGGCATACCCCATTTTCATTGATTTTACCCGAAATTAACTCTGTCACTTATGATTGCAAGTTGTTGCGCGTCAGTGACTGCTTTAGTGTTAAAATATGGTGCTGTATTTTTATGATAGTGTGTTTATAATATTATTTTATGTAGATATCCACATTTATTTAATATTTTTCTTCTGCAGTTTTTATTGAAAATGTAATATTTGATATCTCAAAAACCTGATGTGATAGACAGAAAACCCGGTGCCAGATTTTGAATCAGCACCCCAAAATTACCTTAAAACCGTTGGAATACCTTATGCCAGAAAACCTGTGTTGACCAGTGTTATCAGAGCATTTTTGTTGGCATGCTTTGCCCCAAGTTTGTATGGTTAATGCAAGAATTGATGCCTTGAAATAGCTTTCTATTCGGTGTTTGAACGTCTTAACACCCCCTGTTTTTTTTTGCCAGAAAGAGTAAAGCCTGTTCTTATATGTTTTTGTTCACATTTTAACTTAAGTTTATTATTGCTATCGCACAAACTGCAGAGTGTAAAGACATTCGTGAAAGCAATTACAAATCTGTCGTGGGAAAACAAAAAAGTTCTGGTGCTGCAAAACCACAGAGGAGAGAAACGTAGACACTTCAAAGCTGCCGATGTGTATCCCTTAAAGAACTGCCGCACAGATTTCCTCGGTGGATCTACGGCTTAAAAGTCCTTAAACCTACAAACCAAAAACACATGCGTCTCTGGGGGACCTGTGTTGAAATCCGGTTCAGAGAGGATCAATTTGCGCTCATTTCCATTTCGTTGATTTTTGAAGATCCTGTTCTGCGCAAGTAAAACGTTGATTGCGTCGTAAGGGTGGAACGGTGGAATCGAATCATTGACGCATCGCATCGCGTCTATGAGCGTCGATGTGTTTTATTTGTATACGCTGTATGTACGTATGTTGGACTTTTTTCTCACCGTACCTTGCCAACTGTGCTAATTGGAGGTGTGTAAAAGGACAACAAACTAAACACAAAAAGTCGTTTTAAAGAAATATATGGAATTAATGCATCTAATCCCCTTCAGACACTTGAGGTGCTAACATTCAGAATCAGAATCTTTATTTAGACTGGAGGAATGCATAAGGAGGAATTAATAAAATCACAACCCTGAATCACTAAGTGGGGGGGGGGGGGGGGGGGTGGGGAGTGATTTCTTCCTCCTATAATGCAGTCAACATTGTTATCAGCAATGATCGAACTTCTGGACGAAGGTTTTCCCAGGCCGTCACCACCTCTCACCGTCTCCTGGGCAAGGGCTACTAGCATCAGAATCACCTTGGCCACGAGCTCATGACTGCTTGAGATCGAGCAGGAATACAGCGGCACCTGAGCAAGGGAGAGCAAGTGCGGAAAGCAGCATTGAATTGCCGGTCCCCTACACAAACAGTCAATCAGGGCCAGGCCAGATATTGAGAAAAATTTAACCCGTAAAAACAAAGTTTTTCACTATAAATCCTTTATATGCGTGGCATCGGTTTTATTTTATTATTCATTTCTGTTTTTCTTGAGTAAGAGTTTCATTTTTATCACATTGGTATTTTAAATTAAATATGACATTTTTTTTTTCCTAAAAAGTGGAAAATTTTGGGACAAAAATTTCACGAAAATAAATTGTCACGCACAACGAGTCTGTGTGCAAAATGTCAGCTCGATTGGATCACGGGAAGTGGGTTAAAAAACGACCGAAAGATTTGCACGGTCGTAAGCGCGCAAGCAAGCAAGTGAACTTAATATAAAGGATTTAATAAGTATAACCCGTAAAAACAAAGTTTTTCACTATAAATCCTTTATATGCGTGGCGGCTAGAGTCCTCTCGTCCTCTGGCTTGAGATGGCTGCCACCTATGGGTCAGATGATTGTATGCCAGTATTAAACAATTGGTAATTAAATATTTAATTTGTTTTCCCTAAACAGTGTAAAATTTTGGGGAAAAAAATTCACGAACATTAATTGTCTCGCACAACGAGTCTGTGTGCAAAATGTCAGCTCGATTGGATCACGGGAAGTGGGTTAAAAAACGACCGAAAGGTTTGCACGGTCCTAAGCAAGCAAGCAAGCAAGCACGCAAGCAAGCGAACTTAATATAAAGGATTTTAAAACAACATTTATTTACCTGGAGGAATCCGATGAGCTAGAAAGCTATTTCTCACTGATGCCCAGTAGGGCAGCGTCAGAAAGTCACATTGCTCCATCCTCACCTCTTCTCCCGGCGCGTCCTGCCCAAGCCCGTTGAATTTCATAAAGCGTCAATATGATGGTCTTCGATCTGCGTTTGTTCTCCAAACCCATGTGTTCGTCTTTGTGTCCCTCGGTGTGATTCCAAGCGTCCACCCCTCCACGCTTCTTTGTGCACTTTCCAGTTTCCGTACCATTTGCTTTGCCGTTGCCAACGTTTCTGACCCAAATGTCGTGCAGAGCAGGCAATATAATTCGTATTTCATTTGCACCAAAACGGCTCTCAAATATGTTTTGCCATTTGTCACTTCATCTCGCGGGGTCTCACTGAGTAATGGGGACACATGCGATGTTGACCGATCGAAGATAAGGATGGTTCTCTCACGTTACGCGCTGGCAAAATGAAATCCTTCCCTCCGTCGCTGCTCTGCGGTGCCCTGTCCCACGCTTTGGCACCGGTGACGCTACCCCGAAGTTGAAGGCGTTTGATTGTTGCTTACCTGCGACTAATTACGGACAAGAATAAAGACAAGTGCCGCAAAAACAAAACAAGTAGGAAGAGAAAGGCGAATTGAGCTTTCAGTTTTTTTGCAAGCTGACCGTTTCGCCATCAAGTAAAGCAAACATGCTCCAAGGCGAGCGCTGCAATCTAACCTTTTCCGTGACACATTTGCCTCGATTTCTCTTTTGTCCCGTGCAGCTCAACTTCGGTCGTCTGGGAGTGGCGGTGGAAAACAAGAAATCCATCACGCTGAGAGACATTAATCAGGTGAGGCTCATAAAGCCCCGCATCAGCTCCTCACCACGCGTTCGTCTCTTGGGGACATTTTTGTTTTGTTTTTCAATTACCGACGAAGTCGTCGTCACCCCCCCCCCCCCACCGACTTCATGATTTCTCCTTTTAATGGCACCCAATTAAACATCGGCTGTGCAAGGTAATTCCGGGGTGTGTGAGCTTTAATTGCCTCTCCCGGCGTCTACCGGCGTTGTTTCTCTCCCGGTGTTTCAACGTGAATGCCACCGCCGCCATTGTTGTTGTTGTTGTTGCGTGGTGGCGCTGCGAATCGCGAGACGTTTCTAAGAGGCTCCACCACCCGCCTCCCCCACCCCCCCGTTTCTTGGCACCATTCTCTCTTCTGTTACTCTGGGGAGAAATGAGATCTCGTGAAAAGTGATCTATTTTAAAGTGCACGGCTGACAGCAGCAGCAGCAGTAGCAAGCAGCAACAAACCTTCCCCCGGATGGACCGATATTGTTTATTTCTGTTCCACAACTTCTCCCTCCCTCTTTTTCTCGCTACAATTACAAAGTGTCTCTGTGCCAATGTCTCTCTGCCTGCTTCCTCGCACTGGTTTGTCTGTGCGTCTCGGTCCTTTGTCCGCCCAATCCATCGATGTGTGTTGCCACCACTCCTCTTTGTCGCTGTCCGTCTCTCGTTGTCCCCACACCCCACTCCCACTCCTCCCCGAAGACCTCAGGCTTGACGCAAAGTCACACCTTGATACCAAATCTATTCTCAGTTTTCTCAAAAACTGAGATGTCTGGGGAGCCCTCGCTGCTTTCAAACGTGTAAATTCTCTCCTCCAAGCGGTTCATTATCCCGCAGTGTTCCTGCTTATCCCGCAACGAAACAAGTAACACATAAATGTCGTATTACTCGCGTAGGCTTGTTGTGACCCTAAAGCGGCGCAGTGGGGACCTCGGTTTGATTCACAGCCACGGCTGACGTCAACGGTGAGAGGAATCTGAATCGGAATCAGAATTTGTAATGATGCTAGAGGAATCCGATGAGTTATGAAGCACTTTTTTTCACAGATGTCCCGTAGATCTGAACCGCTCCAGAGCACCTTGCCCCTAAACCCGCTTCACCAACCCACGCTGACCAGGGTGGTGAAGTATGATCAACAAACCCCCATGACTGACAATGGCAAGAGGAGGCCTTCATTCAACAGTGAATTCCCAAAAGTACTCTAAATTATATGAATGTTATCATAAGTACAAGCGGTGCTAAAGACATTAAAATATACATATTTTGTATAGCTAATTGAAAAAACGTTTCAACAGTTTGAAGGTTAATAAAATGGAGCCAAGGTATTGCACATCGGATCCTTCGACATTTGAACATTGAAATGATTTCCACTCAGCCTGGTAAAACAAGGCCAAATTGATTTGTTTTACATTTATATGCGACGCATATTGTGGAAATCATTGCAGACTTCCTGAGAGATTGGTGTATGGAATTAGCCCACCTTCTAAATGTGTTTGTATGTGTGTGCATGTGTGTGTATGTGTGTTTGTACGTGTGTGCATGTGTTTTTGTGGGGTGGGGAGCGGTAGTGTAGCAGTTAGCGCTACGCTGCGCCACGAACACCACCACCCGAGTTCGATTCACGCTCACGGCCAACACCAGTGGCGATTATCTGCACCAGTACTGGGCCTCCCCTAAGTCGACTCAGCCTCAAATTAATACCTGGTGCGGTGCATAAAAACATCGCCACTGGGGAGACAAAGGCGGCCGGGCGTGGTGTTGGTCACCCACCCCCTCGTGGACCGTTCCGGCCTTCATAGGTGCTCGCTAACAGCACTTGCCTCAACAGTCTGTTCAGGCTATACGGGGGGATTTTTCTCTTAGTTTTGTGTGTGCGTGGGAAGCTGTGCCTTAGTGGTTAGTGGCAGCTGGAATCTACACCGATTCTCAGCCTCCCCTAGGTCAACTCAATCAGCAATGTGTACGTGGTGTCTCATTCAAACATCGCAACTGGGGACACAAGGGCCACTGGCCGTGGTGCTGGCTACATACACCACCTCTCCGTGTGCTCGCTAACAGCACTTGCCCCAACAGTCTGTATGACTATATGGGGATCGATATCTTTGCGTACAATGCACAGCAGGGAGCTGTTGCAGAGAGATGGTTTATTCTCTGGTTTATTCTGTGGTTTATTCTCTGGCTTATTCTCTGGTTTAATCTCTGGTTTATTCTCTGGTTTATTCTCTGGTTTAATCTCTGGTTTATTCTCTGGTTTAATCTCTGGTTTATTCTCTGGTTTATTCTGTGGTTTATTCTCTGGCTTATTCTCTGGTTTATTCTCTGGTTTATTCTCTGGTTTAATCTCTGGTTTAGTCTCTGGTTTATTCTGTGGTTTATTCTCTGGTTTATCCTCTGGTTTATTCTCTGGCTTATTCTCTGGTTTATTCTCTGGTTTATTCTCTGGCTTATTCTCTGGTTTATTCTCTGGCTTATTCTCTGGCTTATTCTCTGGCTTATTCTCTGGTTTATTCTCTGGTTTATTCTCTGGTTTATCCTCTGGCTTATTCTCTGGTTTAATCCCTGGTTTATTCTCTGGTTTATTCTCTGGTTTAATCTCTGGTTTAATCTCTGGTTTATTCTCTGGTTTAATCTCTGGTTTAATCTCTGGTTTATTATCTGGTTCATTCTCTCGTTTAATCTCTGGTTTATTATCTGGTTCATTCTCTGGTTTATTCTCTGGTTCATTCTCTGGTTTATTCTCTGGTTTATTCTCTGGTTTAATCTCTGGTGAATCCCCAGTGACCTGGCTTTACTTCCTCCGTATACATCCCATCAGTGATAAGTGAACCTTATGGCGGTACCCCGGGGTACCATAGTACCTCGGCTCTCGCATAATGTCCGTGATGCAGTGATTTGTAGTCTGTTGATGGTCGGCGATGCGGCAATCGACTCATTTCGACGAGCTGCACCACTGTGGTGCGTACGAGCGTTCAGGGTTTCGGCACAATCGTCCTCGCTGCATTTCGACATCGCGGAGTGGCACTGATTTCGGATTGATTGGTGCCCCAGTCGCGGAGTTAAGTACAACCCTGGAAAAATAGTTGTCGAGAAATAAAATATTTAATTGCCTCGGCTATTTAGTTTTATTTGGTACCCGGGGTACAGCCATGAGGATCACGTGGTGTCTTTACCTATCCATGTTACCCACCCCCGTGAGTCATACTCGACATTGTGTGAGAGGGGCACACGTGGTTTGTGTACATCACCACTAAGTGCCCCGCCAGCACTTGAATTGCCTCACCAGCCTCGATGGGAGGTCACGAGCAGCCACAAGCAGCATGTCGGTGGATTATACGGTTGCCTCTCCGTTTTCGGTGCGAGTTTGTTTGCGCGGACATGCACGCACGCACGCGAGCGCTCTTGGTTACACGTTTTGTTTACGCGTATACGGCGCCGCGATAATATTCGGCGTGCCTCTACAGCCCGGCGTCATGGCATTGCGATGCCCCCCCCCACCACCAGCCACCTATCACCCCCCCCCCACACACTCAACTCGGCCGATGCATTAACCCCCCACCCCTCTCCATCTGGCCTCCGTGTCACACCCAAATTGCACGCCAGCGATTCCATCCACGCCACGCGCTCGAGTGATGGGCCGCGCGCTCGCGGGAGCGCAGAGGGACGCGAGCGTTTTAAATTCACTCGCTCGTCCGGCCATTAGCGCCGGCGGCCGTGAACATATTGTCGTTGTTGTTGTCGTCGTTGTTGTTGTTTTGACTTATAACTTTCGTGACTGCAGGAATTCATATTCTTTGGTTCTTTCGGTAAAGTCACGTAGATAGAAAAAATTAAAGCAAATAGAACAAGCGATCGCTTGTGTTGTGATCTAAACATCGTAGTTTTTTCTCCTATCTTTAATTTTTTCTATCTACGTGACTTTACCGAAAGAACCAAAGAATATGAGTTGTTGTTACCGTGGTGAGAGAGCGCGCGTCCCCACTGGTCTCGCGCTTTTGCCCTATCGCGCCGGGGAGACATTTGGTGTTCCACGCGAGCCTCGAGCATTCGGAGCATTCGTAGGGATCACCCTGGTGGACTTGGAGCTTTGTCCCGACAAAAAAGAGCGTAGAGCCACCTGAGCGGGTGTTTCGTTTTGGCGCCGCTCAGGCCCCACATGGACGCGTGTCACGTGCAGCATGCTCGAGCGAGTGAGCGAGTGTGGGTGGGTGGGTGCTCGCTAACAGCACCTGCCCCAACAGTCCAAAAGTCTGTTAAGGCTATACGGGGGATCTCTGTCTCTGTGTGCGGGAAAAGGTAGTTGTAGTGGTTAGCTCACTGCGTTATGATCCGGGCAACCCAAAGTGGATTCGCACTCGTGGCTAACATCAACCAGGAATATCTGACCTGATGCTGGGCCTCCGCCTAGGTCGACTCGGCCTTGAAACGAGTACCTGGTGCGGTGTGTAAACATCGTCACTGGGCAGATGAAGGCTTCCGGACTGGTTGCTGGCCACTCACCGCCTCATGTTCTATTCCTGCCTCAATTTCATTCACACGAACAGCACGTGCCAGAACGGTGTACTGAAGTCGATATGGGGGGGGGGGGGGGGGGGATCTTTGTTTTTGTTCTGTGTGGAACAACAGGAAGAGCAAAACCACCTCAACTCGCTGCTGGGCTTCCGCGTGAACTCCATGCTCTCGGTGCCCATCGTAGCCCGAGCCACATCCCAGGTTGTCACCCTCGCTTGCGTCTTCAACAAGCTCCACGGGCAGAGGTATGAGCGGGCACTCTCGCACACACAAAGACAAAGATCCCCCGTGTAACCTCAACAGACTGTTGGGGGCAAGTACTGTTAGCGAGCACCTATGAAGGCCGGCACAGCACACGAGGGGGTGGGTGGCCAGCACCACAGCCCGGTCGCCTTTGTCTCTCCATCAGCGACATGTACACATCGCACCAGGTACTTATTTGAGGCCGAGTCGAGCTAGGGAAGGCCCAGGCCCGGTTCAGGTAATCATCACTGGTGTTGGCCGTGAGTGGGAACCAAACTCCGGTCGCCGGGTTCGTAGTGCTGCACACTAACCACTCTGCCACCGCTCGCCACAATCTCACACACACACGTACGCACACTCGCACACGTACGCATGCGTCTACATGCGCACAGTAATGTCCCAACGCAGAAGCGATCATTGCTGCCTCGATCCCAGGGTGATCCTGGGAATTTTCATGGTATGGATTACAAGGGAGGTGGAAAGCAGTAGGGGAGATGGTGTTGATGGCTTGGGGAAAGCTGTTAAGTTGTGACTCTTTTTTAAATATTTTTTTACTTGGGAATGGCAATGCAATTTGATGTCCAATTTCGTGAGGGGTGAAGGTGGGGGGCATGAATGACGATTTTTTTCTGTACGTACGCATTGCATTTAAAAACATCGGGCTGCAGCGGCAATGCGGTGGTTAGCGCACTGCACTATGAAGCAGGCGGCCCGAGTTAAATTCTTCGCCACAGCTAATTCCAGCGGTGAGTGAGATCTGAACGGGTGCTGGCCTTGTTCACCAACCTGGACTGACCCGTGTGGTGAAGTATGGTCAATGAGTGGCTCGGCTTGTGCAGGCCATCAATAAATGGATTTACAATGGCTCAATTTTTCTTATAATTATTCAAATATAGGGATGAGCCAAGTGCATTGTCCATTATTACTTTGTTTCGAGAAAGATGATCGATTTGTTTTGGTTGTTTGGCAGGGCGAGTCTTCCCATTCAGTAATGTTCGCATCACCGACTCGTTCCGGCATGTGTCAGCATCGCGGTAATTATGTTTTGTTCTCGCCACAATTCTTTCCTTTCCGAAATCCCAAACCGTGACAGGTGCCAGTGTGCAGGCCCACAATCCGAATGCAGCGCTGGAAACCCTTTGGCACTGTTGGAGCCCTGGGATCTTGGAACCGTGCCACCTCCCTGCCAGGGAGGGAGGAGGGGGGGTAACACCACTTCAGAGTTGGCATATTGTATGATCTCTTTCAGTGGCAAATCAATGGGCCTCCTCCTTTGTCATCCGCAGAGTAACCCCCCCACCCCCGTTGGGGCCAAATGTCACGCTTATTATTATATGATCGGTCACCTTAATGTTTGTACCTGTGAACAGATTGTACAAAATCCAAACTCGTTTTCCGCTCAGTGAATTTATATTTCAAAAGGTGCGATCGGCAAACGCGTCACGGAGGTTGAGGACATTTCAATTCGGAGCGAGCGGTGCACTACCCTGTGAGAGAATGTCTCCGGAAATTGCTCCGATTGGCCTCTTTATCCAAACTAGGGGGCACGACTTTTAATACTCTGGGAAGAGTGTTCGTTGCATGTCAAACCAAGACATTTTAGGACTCGGATCTGGAATAAGCCAAATTAAGTTTATAAACACGTTATCGTTTGATGGGGGTGCGTGGGGTTAAGTCAGTGGGGACCAGGCTGAGACCATCAACTTACTCTTCTTGAGAACCCAGTTGAATCACAGGCGGCTGAAATCAGGGTTTGAACCCAGGATCTCAGCAGTGCCAGGCGAAGTGATTCCTACTCTTAGTTTTTTCGGTAAAGTCACGTAGGTAACAAAATGAAATTAAAATTAATAAAAATAAAATAATTAAAATCACGACGTTTCGGAAGCAACACAAGTCTCCGTCATCAGGTGGGACTGTCACAGCCAGATTTGCTCACTTGATATCACTTGAAACAGCAAATCTGGCTGTGACGGTCCCACCTGATGACGGAGACTTGTGTTGCCTCCGAAACGTCGTGATTTTTATTATTTTATTTTTTATTAATTTTAATTTCATTTTTTACCTACGTGACTTTACCGAAAAACCTATGAGTATGCATCCTTGCAGTCACGAAAGCTTCAAATCTAGAAGTGATTCCTGGTCCACCAGGGCTGTGTCAATATTTGATAACTTATTATGGTCGTAATGCAATGACTTGCATCCACAGTTTATAGAATGTTGCACTGAGCGTCGTTTGTGGGCACCTACTAAGATGTTTTCTTGTTCATGTTTTTGTTTGTTGCGGTTGCACCCGATTCAAGAGCCGAATGGCTCACAGGGCTATACCTAATAAATGAACTTTGAACTTTGAACCTACTAAGGACGGCACAGGAATATTAACGGGGTCCTTGTCAACGCGCACCTCAAATACTCTACTTCCCCCCCCAATTCACCACCAGGTATTGACTTTAGGGCTGAGTCAACCTAGCGGAGAGCCAGGCCAGGTTTAGATAACCAAACTCACCGTTTTGTAATTGTGCGAAGAATCGGAGCGAGGGCTCTTGAGGACGTGGCACAGCGTTGTTGCACATTGCGCCCCAGCAGCGTTCAACAGCGCTGGGCGTCGGCGCATTGCGAACTGCGCATCTGTCTTCATGCAAACAAACGTATGGATTTCGATGTAAAGCTTTCGTGACTGCAGGGATTCATCTTCTTGGTTCTTTCGGTAAAGTCACGTAGAATGGAAATAATAAAATAATAAAAAATATATGTATATAATATTGTATTATGTTTTGCTATATTATTTTATTATTTCCATTCTACGTGACTTTGAAATAATAAAATATTTTATGATGTTTTATTTTTATTATTTTATTATTTCCATTCTACGTGACTTTAACGAAAGAACCAAGAAGATGAAACGTATGGATGTGTTTTAATTATATACGTCTTAATTATTTCTTATTTGTTAATGATATATATTTTTAATTAGTAATACGCTTTCCCCACCCCCGCCGCCACCCGCCCCCCCCCCACTCCGTGTCTGTGAGCTATGTTTATTCTGTGCTCACGCTCTGTGACATTCATTACGAAAGAGCTCCTGCGAATTTTCAATTTTATAACGCTGACATTTGTTCGCTCTCTCGTGTGTGTCATGCCAAGGCCTTCTTCAGTGTAGTCGAGAGATGCAAAATCTATTAATCGATTTTCTTCACTTCTTTCCTTCACATTTCACTTGCCCCTCCCCCCTCCCTCCCCCTGATGTGTCATCACCGGGACTCGCACACGCTGCCGGCAGCACTTGATTATCGTCGAGCGTTTCGTGCCTTTGCTCCGTCCCCGTGGGTGCGAGTGACTCAGCCTTGTCCTCCTGCCCGAAGATCTTATTAAAACAATACGAACCAAAAAAAAACCACCCCACACAACGCCCACGTTCCGAAACGCCTGGCTCTTCAGATAAGTCACCGGCGGTCGAAATCATCGGTGGTCATGGTTATTTAGTCAGGCCCTACTTTCCTCCAAACCATCGCACACGCGTGACGGCTCCGACGAAAAGTTATAGGAAGAGCCACTTTGATTTAAAGATTTCCACAATACGGAACCCCACTATGTACTTCCACGATGAGGGACGCTCGGCTTTCGTGCTTCTCTTCCTGCTTGTATCTTCCTCCTAGCCTCCCCACTCCTCGTGCTCTCCCCGTATATCTCTCTCAGCCCCCTTTCTCGAACCTTCTTCTCCTTGTTTTTACCTCTAGGACAGGGGTCGGCAACCAAAATAACAAGAAGAGCCATTTCTTTCCAATTCGGTACAAAATTCAGTATTTCAAGAGCCGCAATGCATCTGAGTACATACTGTACTCATCGTCAAGAAGCAGCCCGTAAAGAGCCGCATGCGGCTCCGGAGCCGTAGGTTGCCGACCCCTGCACTAGACAATCCTTCTCATTTCCCTTTAACGGATCCTTTCTGTTTTTTCCGTTCAACCCCTTATTCTCCAAACCCTTTTTAAAGTCTGCCTCCCGACCAATCACCGTGGAGGCATCCTTCTTCCAATCGAAGAGCTTTGTTTCTTTTTAAATATCCGTTAGGCTGCATTTGGCTAGGGGGCATTTTTTGGGTCATTTCGCATGTATTTGGACGACTGCAGTGAGGTCCGGGCATAGCTACACGCCTTTGTGACTAATTTGAAATAAAGTAAAAAAAAAATCCACGCTGTGTTAATGTTCAACAGTTCCCCCCCCCCCCCCGCGCCCCAAAAAATTAAAAGACCAACTTGTGAAAATGTCACCAACTCGCCTGTGGTGGGGTCAGGGTTTGATGTGCCGCTGTAAATCCGGTTTGTGCCGCTTGCCCATCTGCAGCCTCTAGGGCCACGAACAGCCAATTACCGGCGCGCTGTAGGTGCAGCCTCTGAGCAAAATGTCACCTCTCCTGCCAGGAACGCAGCCCCGAGTCTCTCCCGCCGAGATAATCCCAGAGCTTAAGACCTGGCAAGGACACTAAAGAGATGAGTGGCATGTGGGGTGTGTGGTGGTGGTGGGGGGGGGGGGGGGGGGGACTCTGTCGGAGGGGGGCTTACGGTGAGGACATTGCTGCGGGTGAAATAAAATGAGGTGGAAGACGGTGAATAAGCAAAGTTCAAACATGCATAATTCATGGGCAATACAGCACAGATGAATTTTTCATTTCACCTTCATTTATACCCTCTGTCTTGCGAGGTGAAATTCACAACCCCCTGTGTTTATGATGTAAATGCCAAATTTGACGTATTGTGTTGTCGGGACCGCAGAGTCAAATTTCATCCCACAACAAAATCATATAATCAGACTTGATGGGGCATTTGAAATTTGTCCGTGGCTTTATTGCGGCACAAAAAGAAAACTAATTATACAAGTTTTTTTTGTCACGTAGTAAAACTAATTTCCACAGGCCACTGCAGGCGCCATTAATTTGTTGCATTAACAATTAACTTCATGGAAATAAATTAATTTGGCGTCTGTCATAGGCAGTTGCCGTTCCACAGGGACCAAGCCACACAGAGGAAGTTGACGAGTTCCTAAAGGTTAGATTACAGATAAGATTTGAGAAATCACCCCCCACTTGGTCGTGGATAAAGAGGAGTGTCTACTGCTAATTAAAAAAAATTACATTAAATCTACACACTGGCTACTCAGTACTGAGCCTGGTGCGTCCTTGCGCTACTGTGTATTTAAACATTCCGTCGTCCGCATGAATGACATTTATGAAGACAAGCTCAGACTCAAATACCAAAAATTCTCACCGAAGTTTTGGACAAAAACATGGTGGGGGGGAGGGGGCATCAGCACACCCACGACACCCACAGTGGCCGCTCCCCTTGGTCTCTGCGCCACAGCCTCGCTCCGCAGCGCAAGACGCGACGGAGGGATGTCAACGGGGCCCACGAAATGGGCAGCGCGCGCGAGACGGTGGACACGGTGTCTCTTAGCCGGTCTCCAGACAGCCGGACACGGGCTAAGGAACAAAGTGCGGACACAGTTTCCCGTATCCGTGTCCAAGAATTCCGTGGGTGTCCGTACAGCCGTGATACCCGCAGTGGTTGCGGCCCTGGCCTCCGCTGCATCGCTCGGCTCCCGCGTGACGCCTTGTGGGTTGGAGCGATTCTTGGGCGTGTGGATTCACCGTGTCTAGAGGAAATCGTTCATAGCGAGTGTGGGCGCTACGGAACCCAGTGAGCTCAATGCAATACAATCGGATTGATCGTCATCAAATTTAGCTGTGATCTATTCAATGCTAGATGAAGGCCTCCCCATGCTACATTAGGTGTGGGGGTTGTTTGATCTTTTGAAGTATGCCTCGCTACCGCTTATTGGTGCAGTTCTTGCTACCCGCCAGAGCAAGCCTCTCCGTGCTGACCAAACTCCATTCAATTACAATGCAAGTTGTTACACGACCCACGCACCTGATGATTGGTGAACAGCCGACACGGTGCAGAGAGTGCTTTTTCAAATCAGACGGCCCTTGATTTTAATCAATGCTCACAAGTCACCTGGAATGTTTAACAATGATCAGACACGTGCAACAATTAGGCGCATGTAGCATATAACTACGTACATCTGTTATATAACTGAGAGAGATTGGATTACACTGGTCAACACACTTTTTCTGGCAAAAGGTATCCAACGGTTTTAAGGTAATTGTTGGGTGCTGATTCCAAATCTGGCATCAGTTTTTGTCTATCACATCAGGAGATATCAAATATTGCATTTTCAATAAAAACTGCAGAAGAAAAATATTAAATAAATGTGGATATCTACATAAAATGATATTATAAACACACTATCCTAAAAATACAGCACCATGTTTTAAGTGACAGAGTTAATGTCGGGTTAAGTAAATGAAAATGGGGTATGCCGATAGCATAAAAATGGTGTGATGGAGCAAATCTGAGATCAGATTTGGAATCAGCACCCTGAAATTAGTCTAAAACAGCTGCAAAAGTCCAGGCCAGAATTTTTTTTTATTGTTGACCAGTGTTATATGGAAAGGTTGTTTAGGGTATATTTGGAAACACCGGACTCATGATACACGCATCTCTCGGCCAACTCCTATTCCATTTAATTACAGGGTAGTTTTAGCAGTTAAATAAATAATGCTACCAAGATGGTTTTGTTACCTCTACGCTTTGTAGATATCTGGCTGCACGTGTGTGCATTGTTTTCCCGCCTTACAAGTGTTTTTTTTCTTTCCTACACCTACAAGACACCTATCCCAGGTGTCACATTTGGCTACCAATGGCCCCAGCACGTGCGATTGCCTCGCGGCCACTTTTGACCCGAATTTGCGTAGCCACTGCGACACTCCTCGCCAGAGGTCGCAAACGGGTTTTGATTCCTTACCCGTACCCGGCCGCACCAGGGTCGCAAACGGGTTTTGATTCCTTACCCGTACCCGGCCGCACCAGGGTCGCAAACTGGTTTTGATTCCTTACCCGTACCCGGCCGCACCAGGGTCGCAAACGGGTTTTGATTTCTTACCCGTACCCGGCCGCACCAGGGTCGCAAACGGGTTTTGATTCCTTACCCGTACCCGTACCCGGCCGCACCAGGGTCGCAAACGGGTTTTGATTTCTTACCCGTACCCGGCTGCACCAGGGTCGCAAACGGGTTTTGATTCCTTACCCGTACCCGTACCCAGCCGCACCAGGGTCGCAAACGGGTACCCGTACCCGGCCATACCCGTACCCTACCCGTACCCGGCCGGGTACGGGTAGGGTACGGGTAGGGTACGGGTATCGGGTACCTGATTGCGACCTCTGGGATGAAGCCATGTTGCAGGCGCGAGTGGGTTGATTCTAGGAACTTGAACGGTGAGAAGAGACAAGACGTTGGGAAATGAGTGACAAACAGTTATTCACCAGTGACTCACGGCCTACCCGTACCCGGCCGCACCAGGGTCGCAAACGGCTACCTGTACCCGGCCGGGTACGGGTAGCCGGGTATCGGGTAGGGTACGGGTATCGGGTATTCGGTTGCGACCTCTGCTTCTCGCCGCCGCAGGAATCCCATGAGCAACCTCGGCTCACAGAGTGCCCGGAAAAAAAATTGACATCTCCCCCGTGAAACAGGGCACAGTGAGCGTGGAGCCCTCGTGGAGAACGATGGCAAAAAAAAATCCTTTTAACAAATCTGCTCAATTTGAACGACAGTTGTTATGCGTCGTGCGCGAGTCTTTCCGTCTGTCTACGTGTGTGTGTTTATTTGTGGTAAGCGGTTCGTGTAGTGGTTTAGCAGGCTGCTATGAACCCGGTAACCCGTGTTCAATTTAGAATTTGAAGTTTTCGTGACTGCAGGGATCCATACTCTTTGGTTCTTTCGGTAAAGTCACGTAGGTACAAAATAAAATTAATTAAATCACGACGTTTCGAGCGCAACACAAGCGTCCGTCATCAGGTGGGACAACCACAGCAAGAAACAATTGCTGAAGTGGGCAAAAGGGCTGCTGTAACAAGAGGCTCATTGCAAACCTGCCGATCCTTAAAGCATTTTAGCCACCCTCAGCGGGTACTAGAGGGGTGTCTGTTTGGCATGGCGACACTGCTGTGTTGTTTAATTGTATCACACTCGGTCGCTTCTGTCACTTGAGACTGTCACTGCAGAAGAGCCTCTTGCAGGAACAAGTGCCCGAGCTGTGTGTGTGCTAATGTGTGACTGCCCGCCAAAAGTTTTTCAAAGTGAAGGAAAATGGTTACTCACCCACCACCTACACCGATGTTCTACAAGACAAAACAGAAATTATTTCCCATTACGTGTGAGTGTGTGAATGCATTCACACACATGGGAGACAAAAGCAGGCTGGGCGCGGTGCTGACTCACCAGCCCCTTTCGTGTGCCGTGCCGACATTCGTAGGTGCTCGCTAACAGCACTTGCCCCAACAATCTGTTGAGCCTATACGGGGGGGGGGGTGATCTTTGTCTTTGTACGCACACGCCAAATTTTACTTCGCCTTGCCGTTGATGTTCATCGCTGCCACTGTGTGTGTTTTAGCCGCATTCGCTGGTCGAAGTCTCGCTCGCAAAGGAGACTCGAACGTAACGCTTCCTCCACCAAAGCGACCGATCGATCGACGGCTGGAGCGTTGTCACGGCTCGTTCTTGCCTCTGCCCCCCCCTGCCTTCCCCCCTCGCAGCTACACGGAGACAGACGAGCGCAAGATCCAGCACTGCTTCTGCTTCACGTCCACCGTGCTCACCAGCACCATCGCCTTCCAGAAGGAGCAGAAGCTCAAGTTCGAGTGCCAGGTAACTGCAACTGCTCCCTGCTGCTGGAATCTATGCCCCAAAAAAATGCTCTTCCCTCCCCCCCATAATTTTGCCGGCTACGGCTAACGACGGTGGCGAACGATATCGGAGCTTCATCTTCTTGGTTCTTTCGGTAAAGTCACGTAGAACGGAAATAATAAAATAATAAAAATTCTACATTAAATAATTATCACGACGTTTCGGCCACAACGCAAGTAGCCGTCCTCAGGTGAAGACCAGGTCTGTCGGGGAGACAGAGTCTGAACAGACTCTGAACAGACTCTGTCGTGAGAATAATTTTATTATGTTTTATTTTTATTATTTTATTATTTCCCTTCTACGTGACTTTACCGAAAGAACCAAGAAGATGAATCCCTGCAGTCACGAACGCTTTAAATCGAACGATATCGGAGCTGCTTCTGCCCCGCCAAACAAGCACTGGCCAATGCGTTGAAAGCGTGGTGAGACAACTCACCCTCGTGACCAACACAATAGCGGATTCACAGGATGCTGTGCCCGATGATGCCCCGTCTCCGTCGTCACGAACACGGCGTGGAAAAGGAGAAGGCAGTGCAACATCCACCCCCCCCCCCCCCCCCGCTTGCTTCCGTCTGAATGCATCATCTAAGAGTTTGACCCCGTCGTACGTGATGGTCTTCTCTGGACAACCGTTCATGGAATTGGCCAAACATTCCAATGCAGTTACCCCTCATACGTTTGGATGCTAATTATAATCGCAATGCAGGAGGCACAACGATTAAACTCGTCTTGGTTCTTTCGGTAAAGTCACGTAGAAGGGAAATAATACAAATAAAACATAATAAAATAATTCTCACGACGTTTCGGCCACAACGCAAGCAGCCGTCCTCAGGTGAAGAACAGGTCTGTCGGAATGACAGCGTCTGAATGAAAACCACCAGGCTTGGCAGCGTATATTTAAGCTGGGTTGGAGGGGGAAGAGCGCCTTGACGAAAGAATTTGCATAGCAAGAGGAATTCAGCATATTTATATATATATATATTTATCCCTTCTACGTGACTTTACCGAAAGAACCAAGAAGATGAATCCCTGCAGTCACGAAAGCTTTAAATCGAAACGGTTAAACTTTTTTTTATTTTACCAGGTAAGGCCCACTGGGTTACATCAATGTTTCATGTCGGTGTCCATGTATTCCCGATCCACGCGTTGAGATCGTAGCCGATAATGGGCACCGGGTGTAGGCGTTCGTTTGTCAGGATGACACTGGTACGCTCCTTCCATCATCAAATTCAGACTCAACAAAAGACTGCTCGTTAACCTGCCCTTGTTTTTGCCTCTTTGAAGTAAAGCTTCAACTTTTTAAAAGATGTATAACGGTTGCCTAAGCCCCTTTGGGAATTAAGGAAGAAGCAGAGACTTAAAACTTAGTTTTAGCTTGTCCTAAATTACATTGAGGGGGGCAGAGGGGCCTGCGGGAGCTTCATTTCAAAGATAAATTCCCTTTGCGAGGCTGCTGATCGCGCTGCGATGAAGTGCGAAAGCGACGACTCCGGCCCCCGTGGACCCTCCTCAATCAAAGCGCCGCGTTGCGAGCGTCGCGCATGAAACGAGCAACTTTTTGTATACTACTCTTTGGTTAAATTTCGATTTAAAGCTTTCGTGACTGCAGGGATTCATCTTCTTGGTTCTTCCGGTAAAGTCACGTAGAAGGGAAATAATAAAATAATAAAAATAAAACATTAAATAATTCTCACGACGTTTCGGCCACAGCATCTTTCCGACAGACCTGTTCTTCGCCTGAGGACGGCTGCTTGCGTTGTGGCCGAAGCGTCGTGATAATTATTTTATTATGTTTTATTTTTATTATTTTATTATTTCCCTTCTACGTGACTTTACCGAAAGAACCAAGAAGATACTCTTTGGTTATTTCGGTTAAAGTCACGTAGGTAGAAAAATAAAATTAAACCAAAAATAATAAATCACGACGTTTCGATCGCAACACAAGCGGTCGTCCTCAGGCGGAAAAAATAATCCAGCAGTGGAACTGCTCACATCAAGATGTTTGTTTCCTATCCTGTCAAATTGGCTCGGATTGTTCTCAAGATTTGTTGAGCCGCCTATGAGCATTTGTTGAGCCCACAGTGCGAGCATCTCCCGGGGCACATTGCCCCAGCCCCGCGTTAAAGAAATGGGCTCTTGCCTTCTGTTCATTCTTACAATGTTTTGTGGTGATTTGCTGCCAAGCCTCAAAGTGGCAGCAATTAACCTCCACGCAGTTTGAATTGTTTTCATTTCTTAACCGGTAAAAAAAAAACTGATTGGAAATGGAGAGAACATGCCTGAGAGGAATGACCACAGCAGAGGTGGAAAGATGACATCACCTCGTGCAGAAATGAGATGGATTGTGGGCATCGCGGGGACTATGTATTGTCGTGGCTCCCCCGCATTGGGATTGCGATTATCATCCAAACGTAGGAGGAGAGTATTGCATTGGGGATATTTGTCCAATTCCATGAAATGGGTGTCCCGAGAAAAATCAAGCCATCGTTTCACCTGTGTGTTGGACATCGGCATTAAAATGCCCTTTTGTTGGCTTCGGCCGAACGCCTTCCGCTCTCGCTCGTCTAGATAATTCAGTTTTGGTATTTTTTTCGTGCTCTCCGTATTGCGGCCAAAGGTTACGAAACTGCCGCTCCGCACATCGGGGAAGGAACTGCGGCAGTACGTCTTCACGCACTCGAATTTTAATTCCCTCGCTGGCAGGTTTGTCGGAAAGAAAATTGGCTCATTATCCGCGTGTAACAAAATTCCTTTCCGGGGGGGCGGGGGCGGGGGGGGGGGGAGAAAAGCAGAAACATCTATAACTCGGCCGCCGTTCGTTCGCGCGGCGAATTTATGCGGCGGGGATCGATGTTTTCCGAGTCCTGGGAGTGGATCCGTGCGGCATTAAAGGGAGGGGAAAGAAGAAAAAAAACCCATGCGTCGTTATAATTTCGTTCTCTTTCCCCTGGAATTGCAGGTGAAGTGGTTAAGTCTCTCATCATCCCTGAGCTCGACCGAGGGTTTTTGTTTCAAAGCGAAGACCAATCATCTAAGCGGCGCCGTGGCTTTAGCAGGCGTGCACTGAAGCCCCTCGGCATCGCTGCTCTTGATATCGCAGACCAAGAGCTCCGGCCTCGACCGAACGATTGTCCGTTTCAAGGAGGTTTTGCGACGAGTCCACGATTCGGGGGCGTTGGGGTCTGCAGGCACAGCCCCGGGACGAGAGTGCAGTGGCTGTTGTGATAGAAAGGTTCATGGCAGTGGGGGGCAGAGGATCGAAGGGCAGGGCAGGGGGGTTGCAATACAGGTAGCATTGCCTTTGTATTATTATTGTTAGTCAGTGTGTCAATCTGTGTATCGATCTGTGATCGTGTTGTCTCGCTGTCCGTCAGATTATATTTCCGCCTGCCTGTGTATTTCGCTGCCTGCTTGTCAGTTTGTCCTGTCTGCCTGTGCATCTGTCTGTTAGCGTTGTCAGTCTGTGTGTCTGTCAGTGAAGGTGTCTGTCAAATCAGCCTGCCTGTCTGTCTGCCAGGTTGTCTGCCTGCCAATTTTGTCTCGTCTCTCACTGCGTTTGATCAACCCGTCTTCACTCCATCAAACTATGCTTCACGTGCATGAACAGTCAGTGACGGTCAACGTCAATGTATGCATACATTATCACGACAGTCACGCTTTCGAATCTGCGGCTATACAGATATATCAAATACATGCGCCTGTTCGCGAACCGAAACTTGCATTGCTCACCAAATTGTCTGCCAGCACTTGAGGACACGTTACACCTGGGGTGGAGTGTGACCCCCCCCGCCCCCCACGAGGGATGAATCGCCTCTGCGTTGGCGCTTTCCTTGAATTCGTCTCAGCCGGCATCTGTCCCCTCGCCGCCGTTCGCGCGGCTGCAATCGCGAAGCAAGCCAGGCCAGGAACGCTCGCCGGTTGCCGAGGCAGCCTTGGTGAACACTTGTCGCACAATGTGCTGACGGGTAGCTTGGGATGATAGCTTTGGGAGAGAGAGAGAGATAGGGCAAAAGCGTTAGCTGTCAACAGCAAGTCAGTGCTTTTGATGGCTCGAAATTGGATTCAGCGTGACCTGCCCTAATTTATTGCTTGAATTCTACCCCCGGGATTTTTTGTTGTTGTTGTTTTTGGAAAAAAAACAAATCGTGGTGATAGCGTCAATAACAGCGTCAACACAAACTGGTTGTAATGAGTGTTGTTGTTGTCGCAATTATTCAAGTGGCAACAGAAAATAAACAACACCGAAAAGTGAGCATTTTTTTTGTCGTTGGCGACAATGACACGGGTAATTTATTCGAAACCCCAATACGCTTTGTGTAAATAATGAGAAAGCCCCCCCCCCCTCCTCTCCATCGCGAGAAGAGGGAGCAAATGCACGCAGCCTGGAAACGAAAAGCGATGACAACAGGCAGAGATGGCAACGGTAATACAGCCACGCAATTTCAGCTCCTTCGGGCCAGTGACGATTTTGTGATCACATGACATGCATGCAAGGCATGATGGGAATCATGATGGGAATCATGCGTCCATGGCGTTTGTGAGCAGCCCACCTTTAATTTATATTGATTAATGTTGATTATTTGGTACGTTCAGTTTTGGTGTCATTATTATAGTGCAAGGCTATTATGAAAAATACGCTGCGTTTCACATCGCCTGCAGTAGTTTCACAATAGGGTGGCGATGTCACTATGTGTAACCCCAATTGAGTACTAGAGCTGGTGATTTAGCAAATTTGGAACCATTGACGCCGCGACAACCATAGCCTACTCGTATCGAATGACGTCCGGTGACCCATCACATCAAGCGTGAGGCAGACGTCGCATATTTTACGGTCTGTACACAGCACCGCGGTAATCGCTGGGGCGGCCTACCGCATTCGAACCGCCAACCTCAGCAGCTGTTTCCCTTCCGTAACGTAAACTCCCGTGCTTTGCGTGGCGGAAACGGCTGTGGCTGGCCGCTCGCGCACCGCAACGCCAATGACCGTGCGGAATGAGGGCGAGCGCTGGGCAGCAGTCCCCGGTGATAGCGAACGTCGTGGTCGAAAAATATCGCCGATCGTCGACGAAACCGGGCGGCACGTTCTCTAGATTTGGCAGGGGGAGTTCACCTGGCGTCGTGCAATGTGAACGTCGAGGTCAGGTTTATTTGTCCCCTCCCCCATCCCCCCAACCCCCCAACCCACTCCGCCCCTCTCCCCCCCCCCCATTGGCCCCCCATCGCCCCCCCATCGTCCACCCCATCGTCTCCCCCATACCCCTCCTATCCTACCCCCATCCCCCCCATCATCCCCCCATCCTCCCCCCAAACCCCCCCATCCCCCCCCACCCCCTCCCTAGGAGCCAGGCAGTGTGTTTTTGTGAGTGTGCGCACAATTTTCTCAAATCTTCACGAACTACACAAGGGCCTCCTGTGGCGTTGATGAAACACAATGAGCCCCCCGGGTCACCCGGGAGTGACCGGCACCGCGGGGCTTTCTGTCCGTCGCGCTGAGTCCGCTCGTGCCGTGTTGAATGGACTCAATTAGAAAGTGCCACACGCGGATATTCGGGATTTGTTCTGGCGAGGAGAGGAATGGTTTTTTTGTCGTGTCTGAGTCACGCGCGCGCGGCGGAAGCCAGGCTGAGTTGTCAAATCTGAGCCGGGCAGGAGGAGTTGGGGGGGGGGCAGGTGTTTCAAATTGGCGTAACAAAAGCAAAATATTTCTGGTTTATCAACACTATCCACTTCCACCCCCTCCCCCCACACACATCCCTGCTGATTGGAAATGCCTTTCTGGATCAAAGATTTATTTTGACTGGTCCGCCACGCTAATGAATTGCACATGAGAGTTTGGTAAAAAAGAAAAACGAAAAAAGCCTCCCAATTGTTGGAGCGAGCGGATTGCTGTGCACACGTGTGGTACTGACAGGGCAAACATGGCAGGTGGATTCCAGTGACGCCAAATGGTCTAATTTCAAAGAGTAATTTACATCCGTTTTGTGCTATGCTGTCCTTAATAGGCGCTCGCGAACAGCACTCGCCCTATAGTCATTTGGTCTAAATCTGTCATCGTTGCCCTTGTATGTATGAATGTAAAGTGCTTGCAAATAGTATTTCTCCCTTTCAGTTTATACGGCTAAAATATAGGTCCATATATGCAGAATACATATGTCAAATTGACTGCTGCTTGCAGGCCTCCAGACACGGGGTGTTGTTTGACCATACTTCACCACTCTGGTCAGTGTGTGGATTGGTGAAAGGTGAGGGACTGGCTCGTATACAAGTCGTCACCTACGTTATAGCCTTGGCCCGGATTCGAACTCGAGTGACTGTATTCAAACCGCCAATAATTCGCTGTGTAACAAAAAAAAAATTGTTCCTGGGTAGTAAGTGTGTTATTCTGTAATTGCTTATGCCTCAAAAGTACAGAAAATGGCTATTCCCACAAACTTTGCTTTAGTGACCAGACTACAAAAGTTATGTTGATCATCCACTCCATTAATAAAACTGTGTAACACATTTATTTATTTTTTGTTCGTGGGTAATAAGTGTTATTTCCTAATTGCTTATGCCTCATTCCTTCACGTAAGGTCCTGGTCACAAAAGCAAAGTTTGTGGAGAACAATAGCCATTTTCTATACTTTTGAGAAATAAGCGATTATAAAATAACACTTACTACCCAGGAACCAAAATCGTGTTCCATATAATTGAACCACTTTCACCCCCTCCCACCACCGCTCACTCCAACAATTGGGTTGTTTTAGTGGACAAGGGGAATGGTGATTTCTTTTGAGCGTGAGAGAGAGATCCTGTCTTTACATCAAATACGGAACTCTTCTTTAATTTACCATTTGATGAGCAGTAAAAGTGACGTTTTATACGAAAAAATGGCTTTTGTTTTAATCAAGAGGCGGCTGGAGCAACGGAAGAAAAATCATTATGTTAATATAGAGCAAAGAAAAGCAAAATCTGGCCCTGTTTAAAATTGCAATACGAGAAAGGGATGGGAGAAATCTCATCGTTCAGCATTATAAAACATTAATGTCTTTTCAAACTTTGAAAAACGATTCAAATGTCGAATCTAAAGTAGGGGGTGGAGTAGGAATGCCACGATTTGGTTCCGTTGTTTAATCCTGGCCTCACAAACTCTCTTCTCATTCCCTTACAGGCTCTGCTGCAAGTTGCCAAAAACCTGTTCACTCATTTAGGTAAGTTAAAATTAGGTTTCTTTTTAAGATCATACTCGTTTACTTTGGACAATCTCGTAAAAGAACAAATCTGTGGGGTTTTTTTTACATAAAGTTGGTAAATTCTGTTGAACATCGCATCATGTCGCGGTGGCTAGGAGATGTTAACTCCCTCGCCTTGTATGCAGGAGGTCGTGGGTTCGATCCCAACCCTGATGCCTGCTGTATATTTGAAGTTTGCATGTCTCTCTCTCCATGGTCACGTGGATGTTTCTCCAGGTCCTCCGTTTTTTCTCTCCATATTTATAATCAACGTGCGTTTAGAGTATTTGGCTGCTTTAAATTTCCACGTGACAAGCCACTTTGTTGAGCTATCATTTGTGGCCAAGTTCCTTCTAAAATCCACCACCACCCAACACAGCCAAATTGGACATGTGGTGGGTTTACTCTCCAACACACCGGGGTGCTGAAGTAGTAGCTAATTGGCACGTTTTGTTCACGTGACAAACCTTACTGATTAACTGTGTCGAGTGGTGGTGGTGGGTTAACGACACGTTTATATTCACGCGATCTAAGCCAAAATAACTTTTGTCATGAATAACATTGGTCGCGAAAGCCTATGTGTTAAATAGCAAAAAAAATGTTAAGCAAAGTTACCGACCCACGTGTAATGTGCCACGATTTTTCCCCATCTGCTGCAGAAATTCACGTTGCCCCTCTTTTTTTTTCTTTCTCCCTCCGTTCCTCGGGTGCCCCTTGTTCTCATTGAGAACAATAAGTTTACGCTTCGAAAATTACCTTTCGCATAACTCAGCGTTCCCGTCGTGTTTGTGTGTTGTTTGTTTGTTCAAACGTTCTGACCGCGTGGCCCCCCGACTGGGCATCTGCGAGTGGGTGGGGAAGGGGGGTGGCCCCTTTTTCTAATTCTGAATAAACTGTTCCCCTCCCGTCTCACGATCTCAGACGACGTGTCCGTTCTGCTGCACGAGATCATTCAAGAGGCGAGGAATCTGAGCAACGCCGAAAGGTACAGGCGGGCAACTGGAGGTTACACGCAACTCCGGTTCGCGCTGCCGCACGGCTCGCCGGCCAGCCGTGAAAAAAAAGCCTTCGCAGCTCATCGGATTCCTCCAGTCTAAAATCGAGATTCTGATTCTGACCCAATTTGAACGTAGGTGGCAGGTGGCTCGGAGTCAACAGAACTTGGGGGGAAGGGGGGTGCCCCCCTCAAACCCAGTAGTTATCGTTGTGCACTCACACAGAGCCTCGTGCAATACACCCTCTCGGGGCCGGGCCTGGCGGGGTCAGGCCAACGAGAGAAAGAAAGTTCGCCACTGCCAAAGCACGTGGCAGGCTGATCCAATCGGCGTGAACCCTTTGGGGGCATGCGAGTCTTACGGTGACAACCCCTGCATGTATAACACACGCAACATTATTTCATTCATTAAACTAAATCCAGCTGGCCAAACTTTTTTTTTAACCTTCCCCGAAGTAGCACATTTTGACCTTTAGCCCGTGCACTTGACCTCCCCAATTCTCACGTGGGCTCTGGGCAATGCTCGGCGACAATACCATCCTTGAGTCATCGTTGGGATTCCCAGATTCGCATCGCTGGGATCTTGCCCGAATCAGAAACCTTTTGACCCCTCTTACTCTGTGGAGAGCACCAGTCCTCCGATGGCTAAAGAGGAAAAAGTCAAGTCAAAGCAATTTACTTTCTCAAATAAGCGTTAAGACAGTATTCATATCCTGCATGTATGTATATTTGACTTCTTTCGTACCATACATAGCCAGCCATGCTAATCGGAGGTGCAGGAGAAGGACAACAAACTATACACAACTAGCAGTTTTAAAGAAATTAGTTTTACATCTGGATGATTTAAAAGTGCATAACTCTAGCGGCTTCCTAATATTGGAAAGAAGAGCGTTCCAGACGGCCGCAGAAGCGCATCCAAAAGCGCGAGATGCGGTGACCAAATTAGTTCGATGGCGAGCCAAAGACGTTGCTGCTACGAGGTTGACCGGAGTTGTGCGTGATGGTTTATGCTCCTTGACGAGATCGGCAAAGAATTGTGGTTCAATCTTGATTTGAAGCTTTCGTGACTGCAGGTATCCATACTCTTTGGTTCTTTCGGTAAAATCACGTAGGTAGAAAAATAATAGATCACGACGTTTCGATCGCAACGCAAGCAATCGTCATCAGGAGGGACAACCACAGCAAGAACAAACTGCTGAAGTAGGCGAGAGATCTGCCGTGGCACGAGGTTACATAGGCCTCGGCAGTAGGGGGGGAGAGAGAAGGGGGGGGGGATGTGGTTCATTTGTGGCAAGCACTTCGTGTGTAGTGAATGCGACGTTATGATGTATTCGTCCTGCAAACGGAAGCCAATGCAGCTCAGCGAGCAATGGACGGATGTAGCCTGGCCCACCACGGCCTGTTTATGTCGAGGACTGCTAATGCAATGCTGCTCTCCCCGCTCGCTCTCCCTTGCTCAGGTGCTCCGTGTTCCTGCTCGATCGCAGCAGCCATGAGCTCGTGGCCAAGGTGTTCGACGGCGGCGTCGTGAGCGACGAGGTATGTCATCGGGGCGGCTGGCGTGCCCATGGGGATGCCCGCACATCACAGAAGGCGATTGTTCGCTGTCAAAAAGCTGGGGTCGACCGTTCAGTCGATCCGCTCACGGCGTGCTTGCGTGCGTACGTGCTTAATGTTGCCCCGATGTTACGAGTTGTTTGGGAGTTCAATGCCTCAGGTCTACATTACAGTTGCCACTGCTGTTCTCAAGTCCAGGCTCAAGACTTTCCTTTTTCTTTACCCTCAGACTCGCTGACTGGACCGCCCTCTTTATCTCTGTAAAATAAATGTGCCCACTGTTTCTGTACTACGGTGCCTTGAGATTGCGGCCGCATTGAGATGTTGTACGAATCCCGACGTTGAATCGTACTCGAGTTAGTCGCGTCTCCGTGACCCAATGCAATCTGGGTTTTTTCCCCCCCAAGGCAATTTCCCCTGAAACTTCTCTCCTGCGTGTGGTAAATCAACTGCTCTCTTCACGCCGTCGATCCATCTCAATCCGTTCTCCTAGACCTCACGTTGCTCTTGACACCAAAGACCACTCAATCTTCCTTAAGTATCTCTATAACAATGCTGCCATCCACAGCACACTTCTATCCTAGTTCCACTCGTGCCTCGAGAATCGCTCTCTCCATACGTTTCCACGCAAGGACTGCATTCCTCACCTCCGTATGGTGTGAAAGAAGTTCTACATATCATGGTACCCTTTTTTTCCAGTGTTTAATATGAAAAATAAGAATAAGTTTCACCCTTTCTGGCAATAAAACAGGAGGTGTAAATATGTTCAAACACCAGATGGATATCTTTTGCAAGGAATCAAGTCAGCATTGACCACACGTACTTGTGGTGATCATGTGAACCAACATGCTCTGATAGTAATGTATGCACTGATTTTTAAACTGATTCGCCTACACCGGAGACGGCCTTCTTAAAGAAGGTACAAGTAAGCTCCATGTTTTAGTCTTAACGGTGACATAAACGCACGCGAATCTAAAATAAGGTGCAAACATGTCGTAACAAGAGGTACCAGAATAAAGTTAGGCACATGTGCAATTATGCTACGTGTGTTAGGCCTCATCGGGACGTACAGATGGGGCAGAAAAAGGAGGGTAGCAAGCAGCAGGTGTAATTTAGAAAATTCAGCAGCATTGAAACCCCTTCTTTTTTCTACCAAACTAAGTTTGACAAAACGTAGGCGAAACACATCCCACGGCGGGTAAGAGAGGGCCCTTGTGGAGGTGACTCATGATAGCGGATCTGGAGAACGGTGGGGTTGGGTGGCGAGTGGCGACGCGAAGCTCACGGAGCACGGCGAAGCGAGTGGGTGGAGAAGGAGGGGGGGGCCCTTTTTTTGCCATTGCCGCGTGACTCGAGCGGATTGTCGTCTTGTGCCGTCGGCTCCGGGCAGCTCATCCGTAATTGGCTTGCTGGTGGTGACAGCGCAAATGTATTTGCTTTCGTAAATTAATGGTAAAAATGTATATACATATATAAGCTGCAAGCGGGTTTACTTGACGATGAGAACACTGCATGGCCTAGCAAGACCAGCGAAGTGGAAACAATGTAGGCCTTCTGGGATTGACTCTGCACCTGATCATCTCCATCTCTGGAGCAGAAGTGGCAACAAATTACGTAATTAATTAATATTTTAATGTATGAATTGATACATTCATTATTGAGGTTAATAAAGATTGGCGGTCAACTGGCCTGCCAACAGATCAGTTTCTGTGGATTTGTCGGTTCAATTCACGCACGCATCTGCTCGGTAATTCCCGTGTGGAATTACCAAAGCCGTAAGGTGGTCATTAAAAAAAAAACTCTGGGACATTATTCGCCCATGAAATAGCCCAGAACTCATCCTCTTCATAATTACATGCACCTTAATCACAATAGCATAATTATTGTCCCCATGCGGCCATGAATAAATTTAACAGGGCTGATTGACGCTGCTGATGTGGCCCTGAAAGTCAAAGCCGGTCCAGAATTTGCTCTCTCTAAACAATCCCTGCTGGACACTATAGTTCTGGAAAGCATATAAGCTGATGAACAAACAATATAAATGGGGAGAGGAATGGCTGGGACGTTTATTTTATTTAACGAAAAAATAGGTCGCCCTTCTAAAATATATAATGAACCTCGGTAGCCTCTCGTTTTGTTAAATACAGATGTTAATGTATGAATCTCATTGCCCTAAGGCAGAATGAAGATTCACCAAATACACTCCACATCTGTGTCACGAGAGGCTAGAGCAGCGCCATTGTATGCGAATGCATCGGGGATATTTTGCGCTCAGAAATATACAGTGGTGGGCAATCAATGTATTAATGAACGCGGGTAAAACATCAATATGCTGGCTAGCAGCAGCATCGTTAACAATATGAATTAATAGAAATTCAATGTGAAATATTTAGATGTCCATGTGAATCTAACGTGACAGTATTTTGTGAATGCAAGCACTGTGAAAACGTAGACGATGATATAACAGCACGTGTTCCTACTCTTTGGTTTTTTCGGTAAAGTCACGTAGAAATAAAATAATAATTAAATAATAACAAACGACGTTTCGATTGCAACACAAGCAATCATCATCAGGTACAAATGAAAGAGAAAACAAACATAGTAAACTTGGAAATATAGTGCAATACAACACAGAGAGTCGGCTAACATAACAGTCAACACCCCACCTGGTTGATTACGTTCTTCCAAAGATTGCTAAATTTGAAAGAGAGACAAAACACAGCCACGGAGACACATAGACAGACACATAGGCAGAGAGAGATAACACAGAGACACACAGAGAGAGACACACACATATGCACACAGAGAAACAACGCCTCTGTGTCGAGGCCTTACATAAATAAGAGGGGGGCAGAGAGAGGGGGGGGGGTAGAGAAATCAGCATGTCAATGAGAGATTTGGAGCTTTTGTGACTGTAGGAAATAAGAAGAGCAAAACAACGGGAGACAGAGAGAGAGACAACACACTTAATCTAACAAACTTAGTCAAATTTGGAAATGTAATGCAATGCAACACAGAGAGTCGGTCAACACACAATTAACGCATAGCCTGGTCGATTACGTTCTTCCAAAGATTGCTAAATTAGAAGTTCAGTGTGAGATTTTGAGAGAGAGAGAGATGAGACGACACAGGCACTTGTTCCTATTGTAAACTCTCTGCAGTAAATAATCCTCATGAGATCTTTCAGTCATGGAGTTTATTTGAACTTACTTCACCCATGCTGGTCAGTGTGCGGTCTAGGCCACGTGACGACACTTCACGTGCCCTCAAAGTGCACCTGGCCTCGCACAGGCATCGTGGGGACGTCACCGTTACACTGAGTGGCGATTGGCGAGGTTTTAGTATTGCGTGCAGAGAGGGGAGGACAATTCACTGATGGGGTAATCACTCGCTACTGATGTTGAATTCAAATGACCGGATGCATGGCTTCTCAAGCCATCGTACCACCATTCCACTTCATATAATAAAAACAAATAAAATCAACACATGCGTCAATAAATGAATTCGTAAACGAATACACACGTTCAAAATTAACATATGTTGAAAATTGTTAAGAATTAACGTTGGCACTTAAATCGTTATTGAAATGCCTAAACATGCAGGCAGACTTAAACAGCACTACCCACGATGACTAAATACAGACTTTTTCGAGCCTCAGTAATGCTGCGTCAACAGAAAAAGATAAACCATGTATTTTCAATTTAATAGGGTATCACAGGTGGCGAGATGTTAACTACCTCGCCTGGTATACAGGAGATTGTGGGTTCGATCCCGACCCTGATGCCTATATATTTGGAGTTTGCATGTCTCTCTCCCCATGGTCACGTGGATGTGTCTCCAGGTCCTCCGTTTTTTCTCTCCATATTAATAATCAACGTGCGTTTAGAGTATTTGGTTGCTTTAAATTTCCACGTGACAAGCCACTTTGTTGAGCTATCATTTGTGGTCAAGTCCCTTCTAAAATCCACCACCACCCACCACCACCCAACACAGCCAAATTAGACATGTTGTGGGTTTACTCTCCAACACACCGGGGTGCTGAAGTACTAACTAATTTTCACGTTTTGTTCACGTGACAAACCTTACTGATTAACTGTGTCGGGTGGTGGTGGGTTAACGACACGTTGATATTCACGCGTGGAGTTTGCGTGTTCTCCCCGTGGTCGCGTGGATTTTTCTCCAGGTCCTCCAGTTTTTGCTCTCGACATTTAGAATCATCGTGCGTTAAGAGTAATTGGCTGCTATAAATTACCGTATGCTAAGCCACTTCGTTGAGCTATCATTTGTGGCCAGGTCGCTTCTAAAAAAAAGAGCGTATATAGCTCAGTGGGCCTTAGCTGGTAAAAAAAAAAAAGTTTAGTTTAACCCCATGTCACGGTATAAAGTGGAGAGTGCATGCATCGAAATGCAGGCGATGTAGGGATTTGGCTTGAGCAGGACATGTGGCTTGAAAGGAGAGTGGCCGGTGTTCGAGACGATAATCGGAATCTAAGCCAAACGATGGACCACACTGAGAAGGACATGCCACTGGGATGGAGGAGTGAGATAAGGCTTTGCGCGAGGACCCTACATATACTTGTGTGACCCTGAGGGAGGGCGACGGCTCGGGGAAGGCCTTCATCTAGCCGTGGATAAAGCATGGATGGTTATGATGATGATGACAATTACGATAATTGAATTGCGATACTCAGACGCCGGTTTCCTCGAAGCGATGCAGGAATCCACGCGAACGATTCTGCTGCGGGCAACAAACTCGCAAGATGCCGCGATGGGTTCACCTCGGAGGCACCCGTGTTGCCAAGGCTGACGGCGATGTAATTGGTAAAACATGCGAACTGGCGCAAGTGGCCAGTTTAATAAATAATGAACGTATTATCATAAGTGGCAGCGATAATACTAATGTATTTATTTTTAATCCGAATTTTTTTTTTTTGCTAATTGTACCCACACATTTGGACGTTTCCTTAGTAACGGCTACTCCAATTCATCACATTCAGACGCTCACGCGAGCACACGTGCACGCACGAATGCGCGCGTGCATCATCATCATCATCGGCACGAGCGTCCGCTTTCGCAATCGGCAGGCGCACAATCGGAGGGGCTTTTATATGGGCCGCATAACGGCACGCGATATTGCCTCGCGTTATCGCACGCATAAGGGGTGGCTTGCATTAAATTTAATAAGGCTTACTACTCGCGCACGCTCGCGTGCACGCGCACACGAAGCAACACCCACGCTCACGCCCGCCCGCTCCGCTCGCTCTGCTCGCACGCGCAACTCTTAAAGCGGCGACACCGGAGCACACGCTGCGCCGTTACTCGTCGGCCGTAGTATTCGCCGCACGCCCACGTGGATTTAAAAAAAAAAATGTCCCGACGAGCACGTGGTCGTAAAAAAAAACGCGGCGACAAATGAGCGAATGTTGTTAGTGGGGAGGGGCGGCGGGTGGGGTGTTGGATTTTGACGTAGAAAAAAATGTTGCATTGCCCAATTTTCTTCCTCGGCGCTAGTGATAAGCGCGGACAAACCCCTGGGTGTTATTGATTAATTTTAGGGTTGAGTTGACCCACAAGAAGTCCACACTGCAGATGTGCACACACGCCGCTTGCCGCCGATGCAAGTCTGTTATTGCTTGTCCAGGAAAGCTTCGGTGTGTTTCTTCAGGTCTTGAGCATCCCGCTTAGGATGTTGTTTGCTGCGTCATTTATTTAACTGTTTGTTTGTCTTTTTCCCACAAAATTGTTTTAGTATTCCTATTGGGCTGACGGGAAAATTTGACAACCCTTTAAATATCTACCATGGTGGGGTAATGAGGAGGAGCTTGTTTAAAAACCTGCACTGGCAGCTTTGGATATCACACAATAATATAGTACAATGCATATATATAAAGTCTAAATGTGACCATATATCAAGGTGCTGCTCAGAAAGAGTAGGCGTATTTATTTTATGGCCAGAGATGGTTAAGGTCAGATGACTAAAGGAAAATCTTGAGCCTGGACATGAACAGGGCCAGGTAATTGACAATGCAAGATGACTTGGAGAAGGCAGTTCCAGACAGTAGTGGAGAATGAGTGACTTCCTAATGAGTCAATGTTTACGGGGGGGGGCTTCAATGGATGACCTTGGTTGTTGGAGCAGAGAGTGTGTGGAAGAGAGAGGCAGGAGGCAAGTTTATGGAGGATCTTGAAGATGATAATGACCGATCTTGATATTGATCTGGGATTGGATTGGTAGCCTTTGAAACTCTTGCAGTCATGGTTTGATGGCTGCATATCCATGATTAAATGGATCACAAGCAGATCCATGTGAACGCATGCCACATGAGCACGCTCGGCATTCATATATCACGAGAAAAAGCAAAGACAAATATTCCATATGTAGCCTTTAACAAACTGTTGGGGCAAGTGCTGTTAAGCGAGCACCTACGAAGGCGGGTACAGCACACGAGGGGTGGGTGGCCAATAACACGCCCGGACGCCTTTTTCTCCCTCGTGGCGATGTTTGCCCATTCAACCAGGACCGGTTCAAATATTCGCCGCTGTTGTTGTTCATGAGCAAGCAAGCATCGAACTCGGTTCGCCAGGTTCATAGTGCAGCGCGCTAACAGCGACACCGCTGCTCCCCATATCACGCACACGCAAACGCATGCACGCGCGCGCGTGAGAGAAATCTAAACTTCGTGCTCCCGACATTCTTCCACCCCCTTTGCACCCCTCCCACCGCCTTGATGTGCACGGCTCGTAGAGCTACGAGGTCCGCATCCCGGCCGACCAGGGCATCGCGGGCCACGTGGCCACCACCGGGGAGGTTCTCAACATCAAGGACGCGTACTCGCACCCCCTGTTCTACCGCGGCGTCGACGACAGCACGGGATTCCGCACGCGCAGCATCCTCTGCTTCCCCATCAAGGACGAGAACGAGGGTGAGCGTGCCCGTCTCGCCCGCCGGTCGTCCGAGCGTCGCTCCCTCTCCCCTCCTCGTCCACGCGGTCCCTCGGCAGCTGTTGTGCACGATCACCGGTGGAGCTGAGCCCTTAGTGGGGGCGGGGGGGGGCTGAGTATAAAGTGTTAAGTTTGGGGTGGGAAGCGGAGTGGGACGACGACACGTGCCTTTTCACGATTCGTGAAATACGAGCGAGATGACGGAAGAGATGTGGACAAGGGGTGCAGTGCGATAAGACAGATGGTGAGTGGGGCCTTGGGCAGCCGCAGGTCGCGACACAAGGGATGGTGGCCGGTGGTCACGGATTATGACGGAGCGGCAGCCGAGGGATGCGTCCGAGAGGACGTGCCGAGGGAATGGAGCGATGTTGTCGGCCGTCTGTGTGCAGGCGGTAGGTGGATTGTTTACATCGCGGAATCCGGAGCGGTGGCTGCAGTTTTGTGGAGGCCTTTTATTCAACCGTGGATTGACCGTGGGTGACGATGATGATGATGATAATAATAACGATAAATGTAAATGAAACTACAGATGTCGTGAGATGAGAGGAGAGTCGGATAAGATAGAGATGAGAGTGATTAAATCGCTTTTTTGTTATGTTGATTAAGCTTGTTGTGTTTATTATGATTGGATTTTAAGCTGATATTTTACGCTCCCTTAATTTGGTCATGAATCGCGGACCTCTTGGTCTACTTGGTGCCTCACGATTCTTCTTTTGGTTTGCTTGGGCCGAGCGCCGCTGCTGGTTCAATACGGTTGTAGAAGTACCGCGTAGGCGTTCGTGATCATGAAGCTCTCTGAGTGTGTTTGGCACGACGCTCGATATGACGCTCCACATGCTGGGAGCTTCTTCAGCAACTGAACATCTTCAACAACTGAACAGTCACTCTCGTAGATGAGTGGAAATTGACAAGTATGGTCAATGACACTGGAAGACAATGGCCTACGCATTTCGAATTACATCAATGGATCGTTATCGTCCTTCTCTGAAGCAGACTGTGTATTCTTTAGAGTAAATGCACATGCGGTGTTAAACAGGGCGGCCTACTGGGGAAAGTGCAATCGCTGGGCTTTGTCATAGCCCGCTGGACCATTAACATTTGGCTATTAAAACACATTCCTGCGGAGGGAGCTGGTAGGAACGTTGGGTTGCTCGGTAAATGGCCAGGGTCAACGGCGGCGTGGTGTATTCCGCAAATATGCCCGACTGTGAGGGCGGGCACAAGCCGGCGTGAGTAGGTTAAACGCTGAGTTTTATAAAGGCACCACGGGGTGACCAGCCCCTCCCCACCCTCAACATCCAGCCCCTCCCCACCCTCCCCACCCAGCCCCACCCTCCCCACCCAGCCCCTCCCCACCCAGCCCCTTCTCCACCCAGCCCCTCCCTGCACGACGGACAGACGGAGTCAATAATCCCCTGTGGGCTGGTGAAACCAGGAGGTTCCTACCAGTATAACTGTTGCATAAAATGCACTAAGATGCCGCACTTGTAGAAGTGTCCACTACTTTTTCACAGTCGAATATTGTTGTTTTAAAGAAGCGTCTGCACCAGATGGAATAACGGTGACCATCAAAGAATGCGGGATTCAGCTGTTGGGTCAGAAAATGAGCAGACCTAGTTACAACATGTTTGCAGGGAAAGGAAATAGCTCAATTGTGGAACGATGCCTCAATAATTATTGTATTCATAACAGAAGATATGACTAATTTGAAGAATTACAGAGCCATCAACCCCTTATCGCACATTTAAATTGTTCACAAAAGCAATAAAGAAATGATTAATGGATATTTAAAAGGCCGAACAACAGAGTGAATAAGCAAGGGTTTATCTTCTTGGTTCTTTCGGTAAAGTCACATACATAGAATGGAAATAATAAAATAATAAAATTTTACATAATAAAAAATGTTTTCTTTTTATTATTTTATTATTTCCATTATATGTGACTTTACCGAAAGAACCAAGAAGATGAATCCCTGCAGTCACGAAAGCTTTAAATCGAAAAAAAAAAGCAATGGGTTGTTTGTCCCTTTACCTTAATTCATACTATCAATTAATTTACATAAAAATATAAGTGAGCATCAAACGGCGTTAAGCCTCTCTTTTCTATATTTTTTAAGGACATTTGAGTTGGCAACAAAAATTGATGGCAGTCGTTTAAAAAAATTAATGTTGAAATTATCGAGAGCGTTCATGAAGATGGGACTGAAGATTACGTAAAGGCATTGCTTTGGTCGACACAAAGGGCTTGAGCACACGGATCAAGTATTCACGATTTCAGATTTTCTGGTGACATAGTCACGATAACAACAAATGGTAATGAACCCACAGGAAATTATTGAATAGCTTAACAGCGAGAAGGCTGCAATGTTGAGCTCGGTCGCGTACAGCTTGTTCTCTGAACAAAACGATTATAATTACTTTTGGAAAGACATATCTGGAAATAAAACACAATGTGTGTGTGTGTACAGTATGTCGAAGGCAATTACGGAAGGGTAAATTGTGTTGGTGATGCTGTTTGGCAGTGGCGCATACGCGGAATTAACACAAAACCGAGCACACTCATCAGCACCACTGTAAGCTGCTACACAGAAAAATATATATTTAGAACAGGTGACACATCGGGAATGGAGAAAGGCCATTACCCGAAGCATCAACTATAATATATATTTTTCGATTTAAAGCTTTCGTGACTGCAGGGATTCATCTTCTTGGTTCTTTCGGTAAAGTCACGTAGAAGGAGAATAATAAAATAATAAAAATAAAACTCCTGAAGACGGCTGCTTGCGTTGTGGCCGAAACGTCGTGAGAATTCTTTTATTATGTTTTATTTTTATTATTTTATCAAATATATCTCCTTTTACAGCAGTGTTATTGACATGGCAAAGCAAAAAGCTGGCGAGCGTGGTAGACCTGAGCGGCAATACCAGAGAGCAGCAACCACACCAGCCGGGAAGTCCACAGCATGACACGAGACAAAATGTGCTCCCTTCACCAACCCACAGCACACAAATCACAGTTTTACATATATATACATAGCGCATACACAGGGTGTTCATGAAAATATATATATAACCAATACGTTTTCAGGCAATGGTCCTTCGAGCAAATGGCAGTGTTGTTGACGACCGTGTTAAGCTTTTATTATTGAATATGGAGGTTAGACTGGGATTAAAATAAGTAAATTATGAGTCGAGCGAGAGCAGGTCGGAGTTTGTTTGTAAACTTGGAAGTTGATCATGCAAAGCAACATATATACAGCATGTACGCCACGTTCCAATATAGGATAATTTTCAATCGGTGCATGTTTTCTGCTATGACACATGGATTCGGAAACGGGGATGCTGATGACACTAAAGCTGAAAAGTACACAAAGAAGCGTGGATGTGTGATCGAAGTTCCACAGGCCAAGAAAAAGAGGAATACATTGATCACAGAACAAATCAAAATGAGAACAGTAAATGGGTTAGTACAGGTTACAGGGCATGTCTCTAGAAGGGGTGATGGCCGATGGAGTGGCAGCAAAAGGAATGAGAGTTGCCAAGAGGAGCGATGAGATTGGTTCGTGCGCCGGGGTGAGGTGCGTTCTGGCATCGCAAGAATGTACGGCCAAGGCAGCAACGTTGCGGAGGCTTTCATTCAGCGGTGGATCGATCACGGCTCTTGAATGACGACGATCTTTACCATCCACTATTGCACACAATCTAGACCAGTTTTCTCTTTAACACGTAGGCTTTCGCGACCATTACTATTCATAATATAGGTTTTTGAGTCAGATCGCGTTATTTATAAATGTGTCGTAACCCTCCACCACCCGACACGGCAAAATAGTAAAAAATGTGTCACGTTTTCCAAAGGACAAAATAATTCACTTCTTTAGCCCACCAATGTGCTGAAGAGAGAATCAACAGCATTTTAAATTTGAGTACGACGTTTCGCTGATAATCAGCACACCGGTGGGCTAAAGAAGTGAATTATTTTGCCCTTTGAAAAACGTGACACATTTTTTACTATTTGGCCGTGTCGGGCGGTGGAGGGTTATGACACATTTATAAATAACGCGATCTGACTCAAAAACCTATATTATGAACAGTTTTATCTTCTCCAAAAAGCACATACGCACGGCTATGAGACGAAATATGGTCACGCGAAAAGGGAGTGGAGCAGGCGGCCAACATTTTTTGGACGTGTTCCTGCGCATCTACCTGTGGCGTGGCTTAATTTAATTTCGCACGAAATCTGCTCGGAGACCCGCAATCTGCGCTCCAGCACCTGCGCTTTGTTCCACGGCGAAAACCAATGAGGCAGTAAACTTCCACCTGCTCCGAAGCCATTGCGTGGCTACCAAGCATTAACTCGCAAGCGGTTTCGCTATGCGCTTGGAGACGTAATTGTTTATTTTTTACTGCCGCTTTGCGTCACGGCGGAAGTGAGCGTGCAAGGGGAGATGTGGCCTTCGAATTCAACGAGGCGGTTGCTTCACGAATCGGTCTGAAAAGCAAAAAAGCCAATATTCGCATGATGTTATTGTGTACTTCCAAACGTTATTTACGCTCGCCGATTCGATCGTTGGCATCATCATCGTCATCTGTTTTTTTTTCAACCTTTGCATTTTGCCATTCATATTTCAATATTTCAAACGTAATAAAAGCTGTGGCGATATTCTGCTTGCTTATAGCATTTAAGAAATGGAAAGGACAAGCTATTACTGAAAGAAATTGCTTTCTGTGGTGATAAATGGCACAATACACCTGTATAATGCCAATTTTAGAGTACCAGCTGCCGGAGTTATTTACAGCTGGTTTATTTGTGATATGCAAGTCCACTGTACATCCAACTTTACTCAGTTTCAAATATCAACAGATATTTTTTTTTGTCCTCGGACTCTTATCTTGCTTTCCATTTCACTCACAAAAAACACATGTGAATATCAAACACGTGTTGGCTGGGTTATCCATCGGTGGTAGTGTGTGGTTATTTTTTCG